CAGAGAGGCAACCATCTGTTCAGGGTAGTTCTACGACACACGTGAACCCCAATTCTGAGCTCAGCTTGGACTTGACATCGTTCAGACAATCTCCAGAACTACCGCGCCCCCCGTCATCATCTCCGCCAGCCACTTCACCGCGTGGGTCCACTTTGCCTTCCCCTGTTGCATTAAGCAGCGATCGATCAACTGACTCTGGATTTTCGCCGTCTGAGGAGCCCAAAGGTCCAGCTTCACCGGATACAAAAATGTTCGGAGTCAACTCGCTTTCTACCTCAGGCACAGTGGCCGTCCAGGCGCAAACGGTAATTGCCTCGGATACATCGAGTGAAGAACGACACCCAAAGTCTGCTCAGGCATTTTCTGCGACACAAACGGATGTACAAGTGGATACTGGGTCTGTACAAATAGCCAAGCCGCACATTACAAAGCGTCCTGTGGGAGTTTCTTCTAAACTTCAGCGACCACTAAGTATGCCAGCAGGTATTGTAACCGGAGATCTCAAAAGCCAAGTTGTTCAAGTCAAGAGCAAAACAACAGAACCCCAATCAAGAAAATCCAGTTCCTCTTACTCCTCTGATGGTTTCTCACCATCTCCTGGAACATCCCCAGTTGACAGCTCCAAAACTGAACCCGCGGACCTTCCCAAACCACCACCCTTTACTGTTCCTCCTCTCCGACGCTACTCCGATCTTGCAGCTGACCTTAGTTTCATTTCATCTGCGGCCAAGGCAGCAGAGAAATCAAACGTGTCTGAAGTCAAAGCGGAAGTCTCCGCGAAGCCACCGAATCTGTTGCTGAGGCGAAATCCAGATACAGCTGTGGAGAGGCCACGGAGCTGGATGGGGCCTGGAACCGACACCACCAAGAAGAAGCCCATGATGTGGGGGTCGGCATTCAAACCAGTGTCGTTTGATGCGCAAGGTAAAAAGGGCATTCGTCCGATTGAATTTCAAGTGAAGTCCTTTTCACCATCACCCTTAGCTCCAAAACAATCAACTTCCCCATCTACATCGTATGTAGACTCCGCAACCTCAGTTCATAGCACGATTTCAGTGACAGAGAAAGTGAGAAGTAATACTGAACTCGAGGAGACTTCAAAGCCAGCACCACCTGTCCCAAGTAAGCCTGCTGTGGCGAAACCCTCAGCTGTCAGAGTTTCGTCGTTACCGCAAGGAGAATTGTCCTCTCATCAACGTGGTAAACCTGACCCTAAGTTGGAAAGATCAGTTAGTACTCCAGAGACAAAGAAAACAGAACCTGGTGCAACTAAATATGAGATAGTCTACTCATCCAAACATTCCACATCACAAAGCAGTTCCAAAGATCTCAAAGACACAACAGATGGTGGTTCACGTTCGGATTTGCCAAGCCCTGCTAAATTGCGTGACCAAACAAGTGGTCCGAGTGGAGTCACGCGAGGCAGGCCTCGCTCTACAATCTTAACTGGGTCCAATTTCAACATTATCTCAGCTGATGAAAAACTTCCACGTGGAACGGTTGGTTCAGATACTAATAAGCCTGCCACTATTCAACCGAAGGGTTTGTTTTGGACACAAGCTAAGCACCAGACGAATGAACAAAACAAGCCCTTATTGCAAGCTCCAACTACAGTTAAACCGCCACCATCCGCGAAAACAGCTGCAGGAGCTGACACCAAACCACTCCCAGCAGTAGCGATGAGAACCAAAGCAGGGAATAACGACCCTACCAAAAGGCATTCTCTTCCCAGTTACGTGATTGAGGGAGCCGATGGAAAACAATCGAGTATCAAGAAAAGTGGTAAAGGAGAGGCTAAGGTAATGAATTATACACATCAAATGATTGATTGAAATTGCAATAAGGATGAACATTGAAAAGAACCTCTATAGATATGTCATCATTGATCTTTACACACGCTAAAGAATTCATCAGGCCACAATACACAATGGAAAAAAAAAAGTCACCGTACATTTTCAAAATCAATCAATTAATCAGTGTATTAAATGTGGTCGGTTTTCTCAGCTAAAAAGCTAGTTTACAGGTACGCCATGAAGAAAAAAAAAGACCTAGAAAAAATGGAGTGGAAAATGGAAATAAAAATAAAAGCCTTTGGAAGGGGTATGAATTTAAGATAAGTTAAGCCTAGTTGTTTACCCAACGAAATCTCCAAAATTACTCATATTTTTGCAAGAGCTATATGATGTAGAGCGGTCTTTTCATCGTTATCCTCGTAGAAAGCTTGAAAAAGTCCAGATTGCGCAAAGTAACCTTTGTTACGGTACACACTTAACGAAGACGCCGAAATACGAACAAGAACACGAACACGCACACTCCCTGTCCGTTCTAATGCGGTTATCGAGATATATATATATTTTTTACAGTTCCATTTCATCGTGAAGGAAGCAGACACTGATACAACTGTAGTTCCTCGAGGAGTTGTAGCAGCAATGAAAGCCTTGAGAGAGCAAAAAGAAACATCACAAGGTGGGGATTTCTTGTTAATGTGGTGTTCACAGTGTTGTGATTTGTCCTAGTGGAGAAAAGAGCTGCTTACATAAAATTGTTACTTAACGTTGTTAAATTTATGGCTAGAGGCATGTTTATATGTGTTTGTCATCGTGGGTTTTTCTGTTGTTTTTTTTCCTCTTCACACAGCCACTATAACCGACTACTAACTATGAAAAGAAAGATATCATTGTTAAAACTTAGAGCCTTAAAAAAGCAGCCTAGCGCGCACAACCTTAAAGGAGGGGGTAGGGGTGGGGTGAGAAGACAGGTTCAATGCTATGATCATTTGGTTCTTCTTGGTGGGGGAGGGTAGAACAGTAGCACTTAAAGAGCACGTAAATTCAGGCTTCAGCTAACAGCATTTGTGACAGTTGCTCCCAATTGTTTAATCAGCTATTCTTAGTAGACTTCGTAAGAATTCAGGATGAATCTGATTTATTCGCCAGGAAACTGATGGAAATACCCGTGAATGTCACGATGTAAGTGCATGAGTAAACCGTAAACGTTATCTCTGCGTGACGTTGTTTTCAATATTACTGTTCTAGATTTCTATATTTTGGTTTTTTGGAATAACGTACTCATACTAACATACTCTGTCCACTCAGATACTAATTCTCTCTGTGGACGCAAATTCCGGTAGATTTAATTTTTTATTGTTTAATCTAAAGTGCGACTTATGATTCAATCTGAAGCATAGGGCTTCAATGGCTATGACCAAAACCTTCATCTTACGCCTTTGATATCAGTTTCATAATTATGCAGTAAAGTCCTGTAGTTTCATTGAACATCTTTTTCTATTTCCAGGGACGTGAAATTACGAGTAGTCCGTCTTCCTAGCGAAATCTGTCGCGCAATTCATTAAAAATCAGGGACAATTTATCCCAGATTCTCATCTGTTGTCGTGCACGCTGCGTCAGGATATTTTTTCGCCTCTTGCTGGTTAATCACGTAAGAGATGAGCGATTAAATCGTACTTTTCAGTTTCTTAAGTTTGTTTTTTTTTTTACTTGCTACAGGTGAGCTGAATCTTGAGCCGACACAATTGGTTTAAAAGCTGTCGCACTTGCAGCTGCATCTAATCGTTACAACGAACGACGAAGTACTTTATGTAATCAACATTAAGGTTTCGTTTTACATTACCTTTAATGTTAGAAACTAAGTCAGGGATACAAAGCCGGTTTGATGTATGCCATGGTTAGACAGCTTTCATATTTAGGATTTGGAGCGGTTACGCAGGTATGAAGATTTAATGAATAAGCTATTTTTAGGATTCGTTTATCAAATTGACTAATACATGTTCCAAACTTCGACCTGTGCACTAAAAGGGGCTCTGTTTGCATGAATTAATAAACGGCAACGGTCGCTCTGACGGAAATACCACCATGTAAATCATAGTATCGATTTGCAGCTGTCAGTCACTTTAAGACTTAAACGTTGCTACTGTTTTGGGTGTTTGGAGGAATGATTTTATAACAATAATGTCTCAATCAGTAGGAGATTATTTAGTTACCGTAGGGTAATTTATTAACTGTATGACTGATAAACCTGCGCCAATATGGACTCCTTGGTTTGCAGTTTATTTCTTGTACCAAGCGCAAACATGCTTTATGATGGTTTAATTGCATAAAGATATCACCCAGGAAAAGTATTCACGTAGTTGAAGTATTGGTACACAATAATGTAGTCTCTACTGGTTAACATAATATATTTATAATGGAGTAAGATGGATTCTTTCCCGTGGACCCACTCAATACAGTGCGTCTAGTATGATGTTACTATTTGACTTCATGGTGTTCTTTCTCGGTGTATTTTCTCGTAAAGAGGATTTATTTCAAATTGCAGAAATATTCTTTGGGCAGCTACTCAAACTCTAGATTTGTTTCTATGATTAATGATGGGTGTAATATACTTAAAATTCAAGTCGATAAGATGTAAATACCAATCATTTAACAGTTTGGAAGGTATAACTACTGGTAAAAGTTGACATTTATTTACGAATGGCATTTACAAGAATTAAGGTTTTTTGTTATCGTCGTGAAGCGAGGTCGCTTTATATAGCTTCTAAGAGGCGTAAATACGTTAGTTTTTTTTTCTTCTGCAGTTGTTAGTAATTTTATAGTTTTCGTTAAAGAGAAATTCTGCATTGTGCAAACTCTAGGTAGGTAGTTTGTTAGCTTGCATTGCACATGAAATTTGTCCAGAACAGGGAAAAAAATTGACCTAAGTGTAACATTGTAGCGAAATTTTATTTAATTGATGAAATGATATTTGTGATCACTTTTGTTACAAGGTCAGATGAATATAATTATTTTTTTTGGAATTGTTTTTGTTGTTGTTAAGCGATGCCTTGAGCAGGAAAGATCATTTTTACTGTTGTTTTTTCTTTATTGATTTTATAAAACGAGGAAATATATTTGTGATTTAGATTTTTCTACCTTTGATAAGTCCAATATAGATAAAAATAATTATTTTGTGCTATTAGATAGATACAAAGTCAGGAATAAATCAAATGCTGAATCGACAGTGATTTTATTTAACAGTTTGTGGTAATAATTCTTTCACGTATGTGTTTCATAAATGTGACCCTATCCCAAGTCAAGGTAGATACAAGCCGACTTTATCGATTGAATATAATCTCCAAAGGTTTTCCCATACAAAAGGGGTCGATGAGTTGTCCTATAAACGTCATCCAGTGTTGGGCACCAACAACTCGAGTCATTCGTTTCTGAAGAATGACTACCGAACTACCACAGAACGCTCGCGACCTGGATGATGTCTTCTGTGGGAGTGAATACAAATCGGAAATCATTTCACTCGATCCTTCAAGTTACTTTAAACATTATGGGTTCCGAAAAAGGCTCTGATATGTGTTCCACCTTTCCTCTCGCGCGTTTCTTCTAGTCGTAATGTTTCTTCTCTGTTTTGGTCACGTGTACTCGCACATGTGCCCACAGCCCGCAGGACACCAGATATATTTTTCAAACCACTCCTGCATGTGAGTAAGATGGCCGCCATGGCCACAGCCTTGGCACCACACGTTAAGACCTTTCACCATCAGATGACTGCAATGAGTTAAAATATAGTCAGGAAATCTTTGAACTATGCGTCGACAAAACCTTCGTTCGTAATAGCAGTAACTTTCGCGTGGTACAGACTATTGCCGAGTTTTTTTGTTTTTTTTTTAAAGCTGTTTAGTTACAAGGATGCTCCAACTCTTGAGATTGTGTATGGAACTTCAGTGAGTAATCATTCAATTGACGATTTTAAGTTTGTTATATTGTTAAAGTTGGTTCTGACTCCAACAATTGCTGTTGATAAACCTCGTTCTATTAAATTCATTTTTAAAGCGAGATTTTAAAGACTAACAGAAAAAAAATCAAAGCCAATTTTTTTCATGGGCTCCTTAACGCCTTACAGACCATAATTTGACATACCATCCTCTTAATAAGAAAATAATTCATACCACACTGAGCACGGGAACACAAGACTTCGACATCTTTCACAATACCAGCCTGACTTGGTCAACGGTTTGGAACAACGCCCACAAGACGTATACACTGTTGTTGATTCCTGACGACAAAATAAGAGTACGAATAATCACTAAACTCGTGCCAAAAAGATCTGTGGCGCTTCTGTGTCGCACGCTCATTCTTTTACGTGGAGAAAGGCACGGCGGGAAAGACGCAACTTAACCAAAAACACAACACAGAGACCCAGCCAGTGCTCGAACCCAGACCTCTCGATCCGGAGTCCAGTGCACTAAGCACCAGCCGGCCACCTCTACTACCTTAGTGAACTGGAAAAGGGTGAATCATATCTAAGATATGTTTCTCAGAGGAAATGGAGCTTACACTCTTCTGATTGAAAAATTGTGCTATAAAGGTTACACTTCACACATCTACGGTATGATCCATTAGTTGTCAAATTCAGTTTTACCTGGTTTAATGTGCTGACTGCAGGCAGACTGGACAGCTTAATAATTTGATTTGCCACCGACCACAGCTGCAGACGGCCAAGTAAATCTTCCCAAGAAAGATCATCCAATTAAAGAATAAAACAAGCTTTAATATCATAATATCATACCTTCAGGGGTAGGGACACTAAGGCATCTTCTTTCTTAATTTCTTTAGAGGTTTACTTCTTTCTACTTACCTTCTTTCACAATTGAAAGAAGGTCACAATTGTGTTATTGTTGGCCTCACCATGCAGTCACCAGACTTATGGATCGCGATCCACAACGGAAGCAACCGGCTTCATCGTGAGAGTTATTCACCTGAATCAATGGCTGGCTGCAACCATTTTTACGATATTGAGATCACAGTACTCACCAATATAAGCCAAAAGCCACTGTTCTTGAGTTTGTTCGTCAATATTATTACGAATTTTCTCTCCGAGGACAATCAACGCAGAAACGCACATTTGCACGTCTCCCTAACACAAGGATGAGAACAGACGGGTGATTATCTTAACCCTTTCACTCCCACAAGTGACCAAGACAGAATTTCTCCTTACAATATCAATACAATGTCAAGCAGGTAGGTGATGAGAATAGAGAAGAATATCAATTATGGGATTATTAGTTGATCCAATAGACTTAACATCATAAGAATTGTATGGCAGATAGTAAGGAGAATTACTTATTAACCGAGTTCGAGGTCTGTACTGTAAATTAAGGATTTCTAGCCAAAACGCCAAGCGCGCGGGTCATAAATACCAGCAGTAAAAGAATGATGTTCCGTAACTTACATTGCAGACCGAGATAACGAGGTTGAGATAGAGTGGGTAAGATTTAATTCAAACAAACTTCCAGTTCAAACAAACTTTCAATTTAGAGGGCCGTACAGTGAAATACGGCCCACTAAATTAACCAATCATATCGCACGTACTAATTGAGACGTAATAATTTATTACACTATTGATTATATTATAAATAATAATATGATAAATAGTGTTACATTATAACTTGATGCCAAACACTAACGCCGTTTTCTGAAATTATTGGTTGGAAAATAATTTGAGGTAAATGATAAGGGCCAGAGTGGGTTTCATTGACAATCTAAGTGAAATTTATTCACGACGTGGTTTTCGTGTAACATTGAGAAACCTTGTTTTTACTAAACACAGCGACATTGCATTGTTCTAACTGAACATACTAAATCACATAACAAAGAAATATGATACAAAGTGCGACTCTGGACAAATCCAGGGCACAGTGGTTTTCAGAAAAAGTGCCCACCTCATCTGCAAAGTGATGAAGCATTTCCACAACTAGTGGTGTAAAATCCCACTCGGGAAGAGACTGGTAAATGAGAGAAAAAATAAAATTAAGTTGGAGAATAATTACTGTATAAAGAGCAAAAACAACTGCTCAAAAGACTGGACACATAGTTAGATGCGTAGAAATGCGCGGGATTGTTTAGACGCCGCCATTTTGAACGTTTTCGTGACTTAAACCTTTAAACCCTAAGAATGACTGGCGCCTAATTTCTCCTGACAGTACCCCCCTTGAATCCAAAATAAAGGTCATAAGAATCAATGAAATGCTCACCAATTTAGGAAACTCCAGATTGTCAAACAAATTCTCCTTGTCAGAACCATAGGAAATGTCAAGAGAACAGCAAGGAGAATATAAAGGCAGGTGTTACGGTGTAAAGGGTGAATATCAGATCAAGTACTCATCTTACCAACGTTTTGTTTGAGGGGGAAACAGATCCTTGATTTTCGAGACTTGAATCAATCAAGGACTTTGGATTCGTGGCCGAGGTTGCTTCAGACTCTATATTGCTAAAAGCAAAAGAAACAATATAGAAGAATCAAAAGCACATCTGATTGATACAAATTGTTATGATTCTAACCAAGAATGACTTCTCAATAAAATGAAAACGAGAATCTTCCGTCTAGGGCCAGGAGATGGTGGTTTCAACCAAATTAGCGTCAAAGTGGCTCTCCATTTTGTCCCCATTCACCATGAAAACACCCTACTTTCTTCGGCTGCGTGAAGATATGAAGACTGGTAACAAGAATAAGAAAATGATTTCCGCAAAAAAAAAATTTAATTCTAAGAAATAGTATCAAACTTGACTTCTGTATTGATGGTTGTGAGGATTAAAAAGTTAATCAAACCTGGTAGGTGAGTCGGGTCTATCTGTTTCTTGATCCATGGTTGGAAAAGTGGGTCTATAAAAAAAATCACCATCAAAAACACCTTACGAAAAGAGGTAAATAAAGCCTTGCAGACCAAATACAAACATCAGGACATGACCTTTAATGGCATGTCAAGGTTCTGACCCACACTCCCAGACAAATTTGTTTGGACAATTACTGCCTCCACTGCCCCTCTCAATATTGGTGTGAAAGATGGCATAGACACATCGGCAATTAACAACACTGGAAGGGGAACAGAGGCAAAAGAACATCATATCTACATTATAAAAATTCTCTATTATACCACCACTGGGCTGTTTTATTATTTTACCTATCGTCCAGCGCTGCTCTAGGTTCAAAAGCTTCCTAAAAATAAGAATATTTACATCATGTCTTAAGTCTCTTTAAATTTAATTTGGGGGAAGGGGCTAAGCTGCGAGAAATTGTCACAGGGGTGGGTTGCAGGGAATGGTCACGGGGGTGAGTCGCGAGGAATTGTTACGGGTGTGGGCTGCGAGGAATTGTCACGGGGGTGGGCTGCGAAGAATTATCACTCTCCCCATCCACAGTTCATGCCCTTCTTTATTCCGTGAATAAAAGGGGTAAGTTTCGAAAGAGTTTGTGGTGCTACATTGGTGGGAGAGTATAACAGGGTGAGTTGATAACGTAAATTGGCCACCGTAAAGAGTTTAAAAGCTGACGTTTCGAGCGTTAGCCCATCGTCAGAGCGAATGACGAAGGGCACACTTGACTGCGCCTCTGTGGTGCCACTCTAATCTATTACTGTACAGACCCACGACAAAAAAGAACTCTCTGTTTTATATGACAAAAAAGCAAACGTCATCTATGCGTCTGTCCTCCAACAGATCATACGTGAGAAATAATTAAAACGCGTGTATAATTGAGCTTATCACATGAATAATAATAGACCACAGATGATGTTAAAGTGTGCTGAAAACCAAGACTCAATCTTTAATCATAATGCAAGAAAGACAAAAACAAAGTCTCAATGATGGCGTCTTCAATCTGTCATCCAGTGGACTCCAATTACAGTTCAGAGCCTACCAAATGTGTGACAAATTTTGTACGTTAAATAACTTAACATAGAAAGATATCTGTACACAAGTGTCACTCACGCTGGCTAGCTTCCATTCCTGTGGAGCATCTGCGAGAGTGATTGGGCCATCGTAGTGGAACTGAAGTTCATCGTGATCAAAATCGTTGAATGTAAATTCTAAGAAGATTTTGTTGCCTTCTGTTAGAATTTGAAGCAAGCTTTACCTATCTATCGAAAAATCTAATTCTTTGCCACTCTTGTTGAGCTGAAATTACAGTCGAACCTCCCTTGCACGGACATTAAATGGACAGAGTGAAAGGATAACGTCAAATCACAAGAATAACAAAGGAAGAGTATTCACACCTTGGCCTTCAAAATTCATCAACTTCGCGTTTTCATTTTCGCTGCTTGTCGACGATAAGTCTTTATTATCGTCTAGAAAAATTGCAAACAAACCAATCAAAGGATTTACATGTAACAAGTGAAACGAAGATTGATATCCAAGAGCTGACATTGTGTGCAGATGTAACATGATGGATTACCTACCTTGTGTTTCAGACGCTGGTATAACGTTTTGCGTCACTGTTGGCTCAGCTGATGATTTGTGATTGGCTGAGGAAGTCTGAATATTACTTTGTGTACTGACTCCAACTGCAATGGGGAAAATAAACAGTTCATTTTTTTCAAGATTTCTTTGTATTACTAACATCACAATGGATAAAAATAACTCTAACATTGCGTTAGGAGCGCATTTTAACCGAGTTTGATAAAAGAAGACCGAAGCACTCATTACGACTGAATACATCGCACAAAGCCTTTTACGACAATTTTCAATTGAGTGTCGAAAGTAATCCGAGATTGCTTTGCTTTTGCATTACTCGGTTCGTGGTTTGCTCTACTAAACTCGCCATCCTCTCAACGAATCAGACGCACAACAAAAAGCAACCGTGACTTGGTCGCCTGACTTTCTGATGGTTTGTTTGGTTGTTTTCTGAGTACCCATTGGCGGATGATGATGTAAATCTTTGTTATGATTGGCCTTCGTGATTACTTTGTTTTGGTTTTTAGACAATCAATTGAAAACTGCTCAGTAAATCAAAGTCAACTGGAACCAAACCATCAGACAGGCGAGAAAACGTGAGCCTCACACAGTCGTTGGTTTAGAAGATCATCATCATCACTTTCTCAACCTATCAGAAGTACAAGCAATAGATACAAACGCCTTCCCTGCGCTCAACTCTCCATTCCTTTTGGCTCTCAGTAATATCTAGCTTTGGTTTGATTTGCTGAAGGGATTTAAACTTAGTTCTAGTTTAACGAAAATCAATCGAAAGGACTGTCTATAGCTATTAACAACAAATCAACAAATCAAACGAAAAAATTAAACAAATGGCGGACTTAATCAGTAGCGCTTTCTTCCGCTTCGAGCAGTCAACTTGTTTTCACTTTGATTTTGATTGGCTCCGTTTGATATTTTTTTCCTTCGCTGTGATTGGTTGTTGGTTTGGTTTTGGTTTAACAGTTCCCATTTGAAAATGCTGTCCATATATGGTCAACAAAGTGTTTTACCACTTAGAGGTTCAGGATTTCCCGTCGTGCTCTGACCTCCACCACTGCCATGACTTCCGGCTGCAAGAGGACTCTTGGGGTTGGATCCTAGTGCTGCAGATGAAGTTCCAGATCCCCCGGTCATGCCATACAGCGTTTTCAAGACAGACCATGTCTGCGCATGTTCGTGCATCATAAGTTTACTTGCAACCTATGAATCAAAAGAGAGTAAAAAATTCTGTACCTAACAGCATGGCGAGCAAGCGTAGCGTTAGTGCATCTATTAACGCGCTGACAAACACCGTGATCAACAGTTTTACTAGCAGCTGTCCTTTCAAGCTCCAGCATTTGACATTTGTTACAAAAACAACTTGGAACGTGCCATTCACCAATCAAAACAACAAGTTCCATCCCTAAATGAATCCTCTCTTTCTCGAAATATTAAACTTATCATGGAGCAAGTTCGACTTCGCATAATCTTTTCAAATTGAACAAAATCTTCATCAAATTGTGCTAATCTTTGTCTTAAGCATTCGCTGCTTTGGTTGGATCATTGTTAGTATATGAGCAACTGCGCACCTACCCCTCCCCTAACCTAACAACGTTCAACTGATAACAAGTAAGGGTTGATGTTGGGTTAGGGGAGGGGTAGGTGTGCAGAAGCTCAGACACTGACATTGATCTCATTGGTGGTGCTTTTTTTTCTTGACACAAAATGCACTGTTATTTTAACTTACAGTGTAGTTATGTTCACAAAGCTCTGAATAACTCCATCCACTCAGCTGATAGCTTTGGGCCAGAATGCGAAACCAGTCCTCTTTCTGAAATCGTATCAAAGAAAATTTATCTCCCAGTAAGATTAAAAGTTTTTGTTTTCATTTACTTTTACCTTTTTTCCTCCGTTTTAACAAAGGGAAGGAGTAGAGGTTTACATGAAGACACTCACTAAGGGGTATGAAAGTAATATGTGTTTCGGCATTAAAATCACACTGTTTTCTATCAAGAAAATAAGCGATCTTTGAGAAAATTGTTCCTCTTCAGTGCTGCATGATGATAATTTCACCCTGAATAATACGTCAACGAACATAGAGAAGAAGCAAAAGTATTCAGTAGAACTCCCCTCTAAACTCTAATAAAACTTATCAAGGAAAAAAGATACGTACGGTAGATTTGCTACTTTGGTGGACCAAAAGTGTGCTCTCGACTTTGGAAACATTGTCAGCCATGTCTTGGAACTTTCGATGAGACGCAATAATGTTGTGTGTGTTGTTATTTCCACCGCGCCTATCCGTGACCAAATGAAATAATTTCATTATTACCAAAAAAGTTTCAAATTTTCATAACAACATTAACATACTGACAGGCGAACAGATAAATATACCAGAAATAAACTAAATCACTCCCAGAGAGACCTTGATATGCTTAAGAAACAATTACATTAACCGTATGGAGTAACCGAAACTTTTCCTAAAAATGTTTTTCAATCTTTTATTTTCTTGGTGGGGTGTGGAGGGTGGGTATCGCTTTGATTCGACGGAGACGCAATGGTCTGATTGTTAGCGCAGGACGTCCGGTCAGATCATTGTGTTGTGTTGTCATCGCGCCTCCATCCAACCAGGGAAAGGAAGGGAACAAAAGGTAGATTTTACAAAAACGGAATATGCTGTGGAAGCTATGGAAAGGAGTCTCGTATGTAGACTTTAAGAGGTATAATGAGTATATAACGATATAGATTCTTAACTCTTTAACTCTTAGAAGTGATGAATAAGTAACTTCTCCCAATAATATGCATACATTATCCAGCAAACAGGTAATGAGAATATTCAAATTTATCTGGTAGAAGCTGTTACCTCGATCTTAAACCAGATTCTCGTGACTAATTTACAAGGAAATGTGTAGCAGCTACAGGGGAGAATTAACGATCAGATCTTAGGAGTAAAAGGATTAAGGATGTTACATGAACGCACGTGGGACAATACAAACAACAGTTTAAGTCATGACTGCAAACGAGCCTACAAGAGTTCACCAAGTCCCCAAGGTTTCACTTCACTTACGGTCTGGTCTGTTTCATTGATGCTACACTTATGTCACCATTGACATTGATTGACAGTCCCACCCGAGGGGCATGTTCAGCTGGGTGTTGAGCGTCACTGAACACGTGTTGATATAACATGGAGTCTTTCGCGCATGACAAGAATACAAACGGGTCTTTGTTACGGAGTGTCTGCCGCCAGAGTATACCTGTACAAAAATTGATTTTATAAACAAATCGTGAGAGATTTTGCTTTTGACATTACTGATGCCTGTAGCATATCAGTTAAATGCACATCAAATATGTTATGCATGTAGTTCAAATTTTGGCTTAATCCGACATAGTTAACTCAAGCCTCCAAACAAAGGCGCTGGTGGTAACGCCGATTAGTGGTGATAGTGGCACATTAACTCCGCCCACGCTCCTTTAAATCGTGACGATGGCGGTCTGCTTCCTGACGCCTATTTACACCTCGTCAGAAAAAAAGGCCGCTAATTAGTGATCATATAAAAGGACCTCTTGTTGCAGCGTTTAGATCACCCCTGATGAAGGCACTAGACAGGAGTGTCGAAACGTTGGGTCTATGAATTGTAACTTCTTTGGTTACATTCATTAAATCTGCAAACCAGTGTAGCATCAAACTATGTCTGATTGTCCACCTGGTTGCCGTGTGAACTTTTAAAAATTTTTTTTGGCTTAATCCGTTACACCCTAACATCAGTATCAATATTCTCCATACTGTTCTCTATACATATTCTAAGGTGCTGTCATTTGTTCTCCTATTGAGAACAACAATCATTCCTTTATTCTCATAATCTCAATGTCTGATTCCACAGTAGTAATGTAAGGAGAAATTAGATGCCAATCACTATTACAGAACAGGACAGAAGAGTCCTCTGAGAGATCCCTAAGAGGTGAAGGGTCAGAATTCTTTTAAATTCTTGTAAGAAACTCAGAACATTTTCATTAATCCACAACAGGCCGCTAAATTCTCATTTTGTTCAAGAAACTGCTTCTCTAACTTTTTCATTTTTTCAAACCAGTGTGATTTCTATTTTCCTTTATTTCATATTATGATAAAGAACACAAGACAAAATAAAGATCAAATCAGCTTGAAAAATTGTAAACCAGGAAAAAAACAAACTACACAATATACCTTTCCACCATTAGTCAACCCAAAGTGAGAAATTTTTACCCTTCATGTTTCAAGATTTTCCCTAAAGGTCCTGATTATATTTTCAGATGCCATTGGGTATTACCTTTCACCAATGCATATTACCTGTTACAGCATCCTTGTGTTCACCAAAAGATGCGTATGGTATATAAGGTCTTCTGATGTCCCAAACATGGATATCAAAATCCACCAGAAGAGAGCAACTGAACAGAAGCAATTAGATGTACAAAATAATAAAACAATGAAAAGAATAAAATGAACACTACCTAGGGGCTTTATCCACTGACTTCTACTAGCTACATCCCTATCTTGTGCAGCATTACATGTATTTAAGCAGAAGCATGTGAAATAAGGCTAAGTGGATTTCACATTGATGTTAAAACACATGTTATCCATAGGCTTAGAAGTTACACGTACAATCACCTTATACAACAAAATGAATATTGAAAGAAAAGGTCCCTTCAGTAAAGCTTACTTGAAACCTCCAGCTTTGCATTGCTTTTACACTTCGGTGTATTCTCTACAACATAATTGACTAAGAGCCATAAAGTTACCTTGCAATCTGATATTTTCTCTGCGGTCTCCACTTAATGCGAGCCACAGAAGCTATGGTTTGAATGGTATGCATAAGGTGCTCTTTACCACAGACTTCCCATACCTAAAAAAAAAATAATACAACAAGGATATTTAATGGACAAGATTAACTCATACTTGAGCTTCACTCACAAACAAACTTTTCAATAAACTGATGACTGTAAAGTGGACTTTTGAGGGAGCAATATCTGTATTTGTATGCATATTCTGGTCACAACTGATAAGCAACTGACAAAACACTAGTCAATCAGAGTAAGCTACCAGAGTGAATAAAAAGCATATCTTTTATTACCTGAGATTTTATTCCAATGCACCAAATAAAGATCTAGCAAGGCTTTGTTCACAGCCTCTGTTTGAAAAAAATCCCACTTTCTGTCCCCAAATAGAGGGAGTAACTAAGACCAAACTAAAAAGAGGGACATAAACTTAGCTGGAAGATTTGGTGTACTCATTACCTTAACCATTTTGTCCCTGCCAGCAGAAGCCACCCAGGTCTTCTCTTCAGGATGCCAGTCAATGGCAAATGTTGGCCCATTGTGTCCCATGTAGTGATTTGAAGGAGAGTTTGGCATTCGGGTATCCCACAACTTTAACATAAATACAAAAACTCCTCATTGTACAAAATAGTAAAAGTCCTCATTATACAAACTAGCTTCTAAAACAAGCAGATTATTGATCACTAACACAAACCTTTTGAAACAATTTCTCAAAGAAATTATCTGTCAGAGGATTATCTGATTTCTCAGGAAAAACTGAGCTTGGAGCATTGACTAATATTCCAAATAAAAGGAGGTAAGTTTAAATTCAATGAGTAGCAATTATATTAACCCTTAAACTACCATAAGTGACCAAGACATAATTTCTCCTTACAATATCTATACAATATCAACCAGATAAGTGATGAGAATAAAGAAAAATATCAATTTGGGGATAATTAGTTGATCCAATATTAAATTCTCTGAACCAACATCATAAGAATTGTATGGTTGACAGTAAGGAGAATTACAAATTTGATCTGGGAGTTAAAGAGTTAATAATGATGCAAATTTACCTGAACATGTCCATTCTCACATGCAGCTGCAAACTTCTGACCATCAAATGGGCTAAACTAGAGATACATTGTATAAGACACAACAAGTCAGACTGAGTAAATTCATTCCAGCAGTCTTACAAATGAGGACTCCACCTCTCCTTACTCTTGCTAGGGTAGACTTCAGACTGTGGTTTTATCTCAAAAATCCATACACCAGGTAGATGGTTTTAGGTACACCTACATTGTATTACATTTTACAGTTCACTTTACAATTTTGAATTATAGCACAACAACATCCTAGTTTGCATAAATTCCATGCAGTAGTATAACCTGTACAAAATTTCATTCTTAGTTAAAAAAGAAAATAGCCAATGGATTTCCTTTAACAATATTCCTACATTTAAAAAGACAAAGCTGGTAAGAAGACTGTTATTAAAAATCTGATGATTAACCATTAAGAGCTGTGCTTAGGATACAAAATTGAAGATTAAAACAAAAGACTGGAGACCTGAACATCACGTATACTTTCTGCTTTTCCAGAGAAGGTTGATGCAACACTTTGTTTTCGTAAATCCTTAAATAAGAAAAATAGATAAAAAGTACAGCAATGAAGTCATGTGCAGAGTTAATAACTGAATACTTGCATAATTTGCATCCACTTTAAATATTGAATGATCAACTTAATACAGTCAACTCTCTCATAAGCAGACACCCACAGTAATTGGTAAAAGTGCCCATATTTAGAGCTGTCAGCTGATGAGAATTATCTCCATAAGCCGACACCAAAGAAAATTGGATGGATATCTGCTTACAGGAAAGTGTCATGTTGGATTCTTGCTTGCTTTCCCAAGGACAAATGGAGATCTGACAAAACCGCATTATAAAAAGATCATCCAAAAATCCATCATATAAAATTAAAACTTGAAAAGTAAAAAAAGGTATTATATACAACAATTCTTCAAAACAACATATATCACTAAGCTAAATAATTAAGAATTATTATAACTAACTGACCTTAACATTTTCAATTTTAGTAAACATGAAGTGACTTACAAAATATTTCATTGTTCCATCTTGAGATCCACTCAACAAAATATCTTTTTCAAAAGGATGGAACTGAATCTTATTAACAGTTCTCTTATGATCATTGAATACCAACTCTGTCAACAGGGTAAAAATATCAATTAAAAAAATTGCTAATACATCAATGTAATTAACACTCAGTTGGCCTGTGTGCTTCATATTCCCATTATGCATATTGATGACCTGGGTGTATGCATTGAAACTTTGAAACTTAGAGCCAAGAAAGAGTTAACAACAAAATTGAAAACACAGCAAAAGAAATTGATTTGTAAGTTAGTAAGGGCAATGATGCTGATAAGAAGGGTTTACTGGGAAGTTTGGAGGCTGTAGTATTTTGGTTATACCTCAAGCAACTCTTACACATCTTTCAAGCTCTGCTAACTTCTCATGTGAAAAGCTCAAACATGTTAAACACTAACTGATCTACATTAACTAAATAACTGGTGAAAGTTCACTGGTTAAAGTGAATGCATAATGCATTTTATTAACAAAAATTATGGATAATGATTCTTAATTGAAACATTATACCATTAAAAAACATTTTTCAATGCTAAAAATAGAAATCACCCTGTTTCTGTCTTGTGATTTTGTTCAAATTCCAAAGAACAACAGCTCCATTAGTAGCCGCAGTAGCCAGAATGTGATCTGCAAACAAAATTTAATGTCCCTGTCCCTCAATTTGAAATGGTTTAATTTTTAATTGAATTATTAAAAAGCAAATCTTCACTTTGAACTTCCAGCTCCCTTAATATCAACCATAAATGCTGTAATAAACCACTGGAAGGCCTATTAACTTTTGGATAAGCACTTCCACTTATTAAAGAGGGGAGAGGAGTCAGCAAACACTTATCAAGATCAAAAATACAATTAGTAATTATTTTTCTCCTGAAATGTTAACCAAATCTGAGGAACAATGTATACCTACAGATACCTGTTTTTAAAACCAAAACTAAATCAGAAAGCTCTGAATTGACAGATAAATTTTCCCATGCAGCACAACCTTACCCAAATGAAGAAAAAATAAAACTATGCTTTACAGTTCTCCATTAAATAGGAGTAGAGAGGAAACCATAAATACATAACAAGCCTCAATAAACCTTAACATTTGACCCTTTAACTCCCAAAAGTGATTAACATGAAACTTCCCCTTATAATATCCATACATTATTTAGCAAACAGGTAATGAGAATATTTGAACTTATCAGGTAGAAGCTGCTATCTTGATCTAGCACCAAGTTCTCATAACTAATTTAGAAGGAGATGTGAAGCAGCTAGAGGGGAGAATTTACAATCAAATATTGGGAGTTAAAGAGTTAAGCTACAAGTTTCCTCCATCCTTTAAACTGACTCTAACTTTTAACCTAAATTTTCATCAATAGATAAATAACTATTTGAACATAAAATTTTTCTTCAAGGAGGACCCTTTTTGTGATTCCTCTTAGAGATTTGAGTAATTATGAACTTGTCAACTTTGCTACAATTTACCATCAACTGGATGCCATTGTACATCTGTTATGCTGAAGTTCAAGTTAATCCTTCCACAGCGTAAATTAGTTTTTTCAACAAATCCAGACTCTTCAATGCCAATGACCTTAAACACTGAATCAAAGCAAAACCTTTGTTAAACAGTCACCCATGAGGAATGGCATGGTGATCATTAAATCGTTATTGTTAAACAGTTTGACTGCTTAATTCAATACAGGTTGTTAACTAACAAATGAATTTCATGATGTTCCTGCATAATATTTGTGCTAGCAGTCTAAAGATGACAATTTTCAATTTTCCTTCCAACAAGGAGGTAGTGGGCATTTATTTGCTGTGGATGCTTATTAAAATAAATACAGAATATTAACCATTCTGCTATGTAATGGTATCATAGTATTTCAAATTTTGTTTCCTTTCTCTAACATCACATCTGTTTTAGGTATAGAGTAGAAAACTAGAAGTTAAATTATCATTTACCATTTCGACCAGCCACAACTACTTGTGATCCATCTTTTGAAGTGCTCAATGAGTTCAGAGCCCCATCAACATTACAGTGCATTGTACAGGCATTGTTAATTCCTCCACCAACTCCTGAATAGGAAGAAAGACAAAATTGCATGCAAATGATAACATTTCAATCATTGCTTCATTCATCTAAAGTACAGTGTAACTTAGACATTACAAGAGTTTTGTTTTCTATTTTCAGAATAATCTTCTATTTGTCATGAGAAGGGTGCTGTCACTTTCGAGTACATAAATTTAATAATATATTGCTCTAATTCATGCACTTTAGTCTGTGTTGATGTAGAAATCCCTGCTCCCAGAAGTGTCAGGTAAGATAATGAAGCTGCTTTGAGGTAACAATGGCCGCATATTCTGTATCATGAAAATAATTTGTGTTGATAGGGAATTCCTGTGCCACTGACTGAGCGAGTCAGCATTTCCACCAGCGGTTCATCTCTCTATTTCTCTTCCAATCTCACTTCTGCTCTTCTTGATTTGCAACTAAAACCATCGCATGCACTCAAAAGTAAGTTACCGGTCTTAACGTATTTCTTGCAAGATGAGTATCAATGTATTACAGCAGGGTAATATTTAACTTAAGAAGAGCACTGCAGTAAAAAAAAAAAAGAAAAAGTATCCTTGTGCAAAAGCTTTGCCACTTTAGCAGGATGCAGTGGTAAAAGAGGTTGTTTAAGGAAGATGGTAGCTGAATTAAGTAATAAGAAGCACCCCAAAAATAATAACACTCGCAATGCAACAAGGTTGTTTTATCTCTTTACCAAAGACGACTCACAAATTACCAATTTTGCGACAAAAAAATTTCTGAAATTTTTCTTTCAACAACGATAAACAACTGAAAAGATGTTGATAGCTTTTCTCGCAATGAACAGCTGATTTGAGAAGCAAAAGGAAGCTTCGACATCGCAGATAACAAAACAACTAAATAACCCCAAATATGTTATCCTATTGAACTAATGTTTCGTTCAAAAACCTCGTAATCCATCTAGAAATAATTAGGTATAGAAATCAGAGGGAAATCAGCCTGCCTTTCTCTTGCGTTTTAGCCATTTCGTGCACGGACGGTTTCTCCACAAGTTCCCAGAAGCTCATGGCGTGACATTTGCAAAACAGAAATTGATGAACGTTTCCTCTAAGACCCAGGCCTCTCATCGACAATAAATCCCATAGATCTCTGCGATCAATCTGCGGTCACACAGCAATTGCCTGCTCTCGCTCGACTTTCGTCACGATAGAATACAAATTCGCGTTTTGATTTCCTGATGCAGCTTAACCACAGTTGACCTTGCAAAAAGTTTAAAAAATGATGTAAATTTTCCTCGAGTAGCAGCACTTAACTTTATCATACAGAATCCGTAAAGGGCTGTCACGATATCTGCCATTACACCATTATTTCATGACGTGCAACACCCAGGCTGTTTATGATTACTTGACTCGGAAATTTCAATGGCCGCACAACTATCATTCTTATCAATCTGGCATTTTTTCAGCAGAAATCAGGCAAAAATCAAGTCCAGGCCAGCTCAGATTTGATTCCGTGTGGCATTCGGCAGGCCTGAGGGTTACAGGAGTCAACAGTTACAGTGTCCTCACTTAACATCAAGAAAATTAGATCCATTAATCCTATAATCTGTTAAAGAGATAACAAAACGACTTCAAAATAAGATTTAATGAAGGGGGATTTCTTAAAAGGATTAGCTACGTTTCCGCCAACCAGGAACAGCTTAACAATTTTAAGAAACATGAAGTCATGTAATCAACAGCTACGAACAAACTTGTTTCATTCCTGGGGCCTCTATGATAACCGTAAAGCTGAAAATGAAACATTTAAATGAGATTGTGATATGATAAGGAGTCTGCGAAGAGGTTCCAGACACCTGAAAGTGAAACACATAATATGTTACCGATAAAAGCGGATGCTTTTAGTGCTTGAGAAAAGGGAAAATTAACTGGGCATGTGAAACACACCCATGAAACAACATTTAAATAACTTCTCGGGATTATCATTAAAATTATCGGTAAGCCGCAAGCTCTCGTCAACTCAAAAAAGGTGCCACACCCGAATAGTTGGACGTCTCACTATTCCCCTCTGACCTAAAATTTGCCACGAACTCTCCTAAAAGGCGGCAGCTACTATCAGCGGAATGGGGGAAAGAGTTGGGGACTGAGTTATAGGTGATAGTCATTAAACAAAACGAAATTGGGTAACATTATTTACATAATGAAGATATGCGCTCATTTTACATTGCATGACAGGACAAAGAAACGGCCTTTGTCAACTTCAAAGCGGAAATAGAGGAGATGGGAGGTAAACCGCAATGAATGAAACAATTTACATCAAGAGTGAATTGACGACGCTCATCAAGAAACAACGATCTTTGTCAAGACTCAAGTTTATTCAGTTTTTCAATTCTTCGACTATGACTCTCAGTTTCATGTTATTTCGACTGACCACAAAGTTAATCTGATCTCACGAAATCTCCCACGAAAGCTGTTAATCTGAGCTGTCTGTGAGCGTCCTCATGTGAAAGATGATCCGTCACCAAACACGCGGGAATGGAATTCCTCACTGCATATAAACGTTACTATCGATCGGGTGTCGTGACATAGTCCAGCAGCATCCGGCTAAGTTTATAGCTGGTGAAATGTTTCTTATCTCTGCTCTCGTTGCTGGTTTGTTTCTGCCCGTTGCATACACTTGCTCTCTACCTGCTGGCGCTTTTTTCTACACTCCAATTCAGCGAACTATCCTAGCGCCGATTGTTTTCCAAGCTAAGGTTCTCAATACAACAACCTACTTAGATCGCCATGCTACTGGTCAAGTCTTCGATGCTTGCGTCCGTATCGCAAAAATATTCAAGGCACCGTTCGAAATTCCTCCAGAGTTGTGTTTTGGATCATTTGGGATAGAAGAGCTGTGTTTGACATACGTGTTCGAAGGCTCTGATTACATTTTCTTTGTGAATGAAGATTTCACAGCTAGATATGACGGTTTTCCACTGTCTGCTATCTCTGTCACTGATGACAATTTGTCCTCAGTTGAGCGTGGTTACTGCTCAGCTGATCAATCCGACGATTGTGGTAAGTGAAAAAAATGTTATTTCAAACTATGAAATGGAAAATCGAACAAAATTTTCTTTTTTTTTTCTACCTGTGACAAATGTTAAAATATTACTGTTTCTGAAGAGAATAGACAGTCCACACGAGTCTCCGCGGATAAAATTATGAAAAATAATGGGCGTGTTTTGTTTACATACACCTGAACATAACCTGTAGATTTTGTACTGCTATTATTTTTAACACGGCGGAGCAAATATTTACGTGCGTATGAGTACTGTCGCAATTTAATATTCGCACTAGTTAGGAATTTGTAAGAGCGCGCCGTGCCGCGCGCCACAATTTCGCGTCGGTTTTCAGCTGGCAGTATTAAATGCGCTGTCGACCTCCTGTCATGTAATTGTAGATCAATAACATCACATAATCATTTTTTAAAAAAAAAACGTCGCCATCACCAGTCAGACGTTCTAGGTAATCAAATCTTCTTTCCTTTTCTTTAAACTCGAAAAAATTATTCGGCGAAAACTGACCATAATATTCGCGCCATGTTAACCTTGAGACAATTTTGATTTTTCTGGACTGGACCTAATGTTGACGAAGGTGTTCATTCGAGATGGCAGGTAAAGGTTCAGTTTGATGATGGGGCATCTTGGGAGTTGAAATTTGACATTTGGTGAAGGAGATATGTTATTATTTCTTTTATCAGATCAGATAAGTTTCAGAGCTGAAAAATATTATGCCCACCACAAGCCAAGATCGGCATTCTTTGCTTTTAACAATGCTATTCAATTATAATCCGGCATATTGAGTCAGACCGACCTGTCGTGCCGGACGGCAGCATGTCTCTAAAATCTTGAAGCATTTCCTCTACTTAATATGCCTAAGACGAGGAGATTTCTGAGCAAATTTAAGGAATGTTTATAGTTGTAAACACTTTGTCTCCGCTGTCAACGATGAAAAGATGAATTTGATGTGGGTGCTACTGTTTATACTGACCACCCATGGAGCTTGTCAAGGGATGTCCTGGAACAGCTTGTCAAAGGTCCCAGAACAAAAAAACACAAGAAATTTCTGACGAAATTTTTCTATCGCGTAGTTCTATATTGTCTGTCTGTTAAATTAAGCTGGACCCACTGCGAGTAATGATCTTATGTGTAAACGGAGAAAATTGCCCTCTGCAATGCCCTTTTATTTTTCCTTTGGCTTGTCCGCCTTTCATCTATTTGCTACTCGAAGATTTTGTGTGACGATCGGAAAGAGCCGATTGTTTGGAATGAGATGCACTAACGGGTCTTCCGGACGCGACAAAGCTGGAGGTCTTTACTTACTTTGCCGCTCTCTCAGCAAGAGGTCTCACAATAATATCCCAGCCATTTTTTTTTCGGATGGTCTTTTTTTTTTATGCTGCACGGTCTTTCCTCGCCTTGGTCCTATTTGGCGTGAGCTTAGTTTAAATCGCCTATTTTGGTTAATGAACTATACACTGTCCATGAGGAAAGTAAAAGTCTCGCACTTTGGACGGGAACATAAATTATATTCCCCAACAATGAAATTTACATCAAGAATTAAAAGCTTAAATGCATCCTTTTAAATGGAAAAATGGTAATCTTGATTTTTTTTTTCGGGGTCATTCTTTCCAGGATTGTATTTATTTGAGGAACTTTTATTTCAAAATTTGACCTATCTGTTATACTAGTGTCACAATTACCTTTTGACCTTTGACTTGTTCCTTAGGTTTGACTCAAGGGAGATCTCCGTTTCGCCCCATCGGTCAATCGTCTGCGCATGTGCGAACATTTTCATGTCGACGTTAGTCCACATAGCGGGCTTTCTAGCTGTCTGAACCAAGTGTCACACTGGAGATATAAACCAATAAATTAATAAGTCACGGTGTTCTAAAAGCGTATAACAGTTTTGGTAAAACTCAAAACAACATAGTAAATCGACAAGATAACCGTACTTGAATTTTGCGTTAAGTTAGCAAAGTCTCGAGTTTTCCTTGCGTCAACATTTTTTTCCCGCATAGACTTCTCTTAAAGTTTCGATTATTGTTAGCATATTTTGCATGCCAGTGGTTATTTCTTGTTTTCCTTCGAAATTTTGTGCGGGAAGTTACCGCGCGGCCGACCAGAATCAATAGCGTATGCTTGATGTTTGACCCCGTGTACCCAACAGATCTTTTGCCGTTTCTGTTGAAAGTGCGTGGTCTGTGGTGGGAAGAAGGTATGAGGACATAATCGCTTAATGCCTTCTGGTCGTCTCTTTGATGCGTTTTAGGGTGACACTCCATGTTTCTCGTACTCCAAGAGATCAGTATGAGAGTACTTGCTACGAATCACCATTATATGCGGAAAAATTTTCACGTTGGAACTCGCGTCTTGCGTCTTATAGGGCCTTTTGTTCGGTCCTAAAGATTTGAGCTGAAATAATTCACTAACTGTCCAATAGAGCCGTCGAGCTTAGTCATTTGCAACCTATGTCCGCTTTCTACATTCCAAACTATCACGATTTGCTATTATCTGTTGAGCGATTTTTCTATCCAAGGGTTTATTCGTTTAACTACAACGATTAACATCATCTATAAAATTACGCGAGGCGGATTATATTTCATAGGGCGAAAAAAGAAAACATTTTCGTGCCAAAAGCTGACGCGCAGAAATTTTTACTTATGTTGACAGAACCGCCAAAGATTGATTTGGAAACATTTGAACCCGTGAACCGTATACTAGAGGGACGAAATGCAGTTGTCAAATGCCAAGCATCAGGAACGTTGCCCAAGGTAACAATCTGGTCCAGAGGTGGAGAACTTGTAATGGAAAAACTGCGAGAAAATATGCTCGAGATCAGTGATGCTACCATGTATGATACGGGGAGATATTCCTGTACAGTTAAAAACCCCGCCGGAGAGGATACAGCAGAAACCTATGTACAGATTCGTAAGTACATAAAATAAGCGTCCTTTCAGCGGACACCGCTGCGGTCTCCTTCGCACGAGCCTGCGAACGGGCCCTGATTATTGGCGCTTCAGCAAATTATTAGAATTAACCCTTTAACTCCCAAGATCTCATTACTAATTCTCCTTACAGTCTGCCATATTGTTCTGGTGATATTAGTTTGGAGAATTTGGTATTGGATCAACTAACAATTCCCTAGTTAATTTTTTTCATTCTCATCACTCGTCTGCTTGATATTGTATTGATATAGCAAGAAGAAATGGTCACTTATGGGAGTTAAAGGGTTTAAATATCTGGTTGTGTTCATGACTTGCTTTTTCCTGAAGCCGACAAGAGATGCGCCTGACGATGGTGCCTGTGATTACAGATTTAGCTATAAAAGTCAAGTTTTTCTCCGCACAAATTGTCTTAGTTAATGACATTTCTTCATTCGATTTGTTTCCAGTCTCCTCAGCATGCGGAGGCTTGGTCGCTGTACATGAAAACAAGACCATAACAATCCAAAGCCCAGATTATCCTTGGCCTTACCGGAAAGCAAAGTCCTGTTCATGGCGAGTGTGTCCTCCTCAAGGCATGAAGTTGGAGTTTAACTTTACCACCTTTGATCTTCGCACATTTGACAAACTGGAGATTATTAATGGTTAGATACACATTCATTTCTACTCTTAAATTCATGGTCCACTCAATTTAGCACGCAATTGGTATTCATATCTCACGAGAGTTAACAAGTGATAATAACAGTATCTAAGTGCCATTTGAGGGGGGGGGGGTTATTACTTATCAATATCGTTGTATGGCATTAGTATGAGCAAACTACGTACCTCATTTTTCCTCCAAAGATAAAAAAAGAAACAGTGACATTAGCTTTTCCACAAGCTTCATTTTTAACCGTTTTCCTATCACACGAAAACACAAAGGCGACGTTTTCAAACTTATCCCTCAGAGCGTTTTTGAGAAGCGCCTGTTTCCGCTGGACAATTTACCAGATTAAGTGTGGACACTTAACTTCTCTGTGTGAAAATTTTTAAGTTAAAATCAATCCGGCGAATCTTGGACGGGCTCTGAGATATATTCAAATTTTTCCCCCACAGAATGTGATCGGCAACATTCTCCATGGAGGACATACTGTGGTTCCAAGGTGTCTCCTGGCTCCTTTCTGTCACGTTGTAACTCCACTTGTATGCAGATTGTTCTGAACTCTGGCTTCCCTCCCAACAGAGTAGCTACTGGTTTCCAAGCCAACATCAAGACTTCAGATCCAGGTACTGTAATCGAAACCGGGAACAGCAGTAGCTTATTGCAAAGCCCAACGATATCGAAAAAATCTCGTTCCAAGAGTTCCTAAGAAAGAAATTCATTATGCTCGCTCCACGCTCCCTCCTCCATTAACTCAGAGGAAGCGTGATGCATAGCAAGCCCCAAATGCAACGGTTGCTAAGGAGATCGGGAAATGGCAGGTTCTGAGGAATTATAGCGTAATATCAGCCTCAGTTATTTTTGCTCTCTTAATTCAACAATGATCTTTTTATTTCACAGATGAAACAGAAGACAATCTGGAGGAAATGGTTTGTGGCAGCAATCTTGGTATGTGCACTAATCGTTACTGCGTTGTTGTTGTTGTTGTTGTTGTTGTTGTTGTTGTTTTATGAAATCAGGCTTGGCTTTCCTTTTGGTTTTGTTCTGCAACTGAAGCATTATTTGAAATATATTCTCTGGAGTACTTATTTTAAAAATTACTGTCGATGGGTTACAGCCAGTGGGCGACAACGTCTCCTATCCATGTAAGAAAAAAAAATCGATGTGTTATTTAGAGATGTCGAGGGTAGACAGAATTTCGCGTGTGACCAGAAAACAAGTTCATTCCACTGACTGGTTCAGACCTTACCTGTTAACGAACCAACATGAAGAATCGATCTCGGATTTCCTATAAAACATTTGCTGAGGTTGAAGAGAGGAGGAACATTGGCTAACCAGCTTTTGTCACCGAATGTAACGTTCTAAACAAGCGTCTCAGATGCTTTTTTAATCCTTTACCTCCCGTGAGTGACCAAGATAGAATTCCTCCTTACAATATCAATGCAATGGCACGCAGACAAGTGATGAGAATAGCGAAAAAATCAATTATGGGATTACTAATTGATTCTTTAAACTGACATAATGAGAAGCATTTGACAGACAGTAAGGAGAATTACTAATGAGATCTTGGGAGTGAAAGGGTTAAAACGCCGCAGTTACTGCACTGGAACGGGGAACCTTAGTTACCCATGCCCACATCTTTCTTTCTTTTTCTTTTTTTTTTTTCTTAGTCGCCAGAGTGATTCCTTCCGAGCGCCAGCTTCTGGCGTTGGAGGTGAACGTGAAAATATTGGAAGTCCATAGACAAGACGAGCCTATGCTCGTTTCACCCGATGATGAAATCTCTATAAAGCACGAGTGAGTTACTGACATAAGACAATAAATAGAAAGATTTACTTTCTTCGTATTCCTCTCTCACCTTGAGTTTGAGTCTTTTTGTCCTGTTGCTGATGCCAAATGTTTTGTCGGCCACTTTTTGTGAAAAGCGTTAAGACATGAACTTTGCAGTCGATTGGCTGAGATCAACGCACGCTTAACGCGCTACAATTTAACTTATCCCCAATAAGCCTCTTTAGTATTGTTATGATACTCCTTGTTGGCAGTCAATTTCTTTACTCTCCCTTCCATACTCTGTTAGCGACGACTGGTCCTGAAAGCCATGTTGTCCCTCCAAATACTAAAATACAAAAATTTTATTCTTGATGTTTGTATATGCCTGATGCTTTTAATCACTGTCATATTTCAACGTATCGATCTCCTGCCTTTTGCAGTTTTACCATCACAGACATGTATGGCTGTCCAATGGAGCTTAAAACCGGATCAGAATATTACATTTTTGCCTCGTTCGAGAGACACATTAATAGTGTAGATCCCATTTCCTTAGTGATGGATTTTGCCGTGGATCCTAACAACAATGAGACGTCTGCGAACTTTATCCAGCGGTTGAAGGCGATAAAAGAAGAACCGCCGCAATGTGAACCGCTCCCAGCCAAATAAGATAGTATTCGAATTAATAGCTTTTTTGAAAAAATACTGAAACTTTTAACTAATTGGAACTGAAATGTACGGGCGAAGGAGAGTTTCTCCCGAACGTTTGCTTCAAAGACGTACTTGTAATTTGCTTTGCGATTAAAATTTTTGTTCAGCAATGAAGGCTCTCACTTGATCTTCCTATGCTCCAGTCATCAATTCGTACCATTCCCATATAACATTCTATTGCATTGGATTGTTTGTCTCGTTGGTTTTCATTCCCAAAATCTTAGTAGTAATTCTCCTCACTGTCTGCCATACAATTCTTATGATGTTACTCAGAGGATTTGGTATTGGTATTTTTCTTTATTGTCAACACTTGTCAGCTTAATATTGTATTGTGTGTTTGATATTGCAATGGAACTCATTTTTACAATAATTGACTGCCTTTAATGTGGTGATCTTGGATCTCAGAAGTAGCCCCTTGCCCGTTCAATTTCCTCTTGTCCTCGTTGATATTGTTTTCTTTAGAAACCGAAATCGCTTGAACAGCTCTTCATAATCAAAGTGCTGTACCCCTCGGAACAGCTGGTTATCCGCTGCGTAGGGTCTAAATCGAAGTTAAAACGCCTTTCTATACATCAGCGCCTGATTTTAACTAAGTTTACTTTTAACATAAAGAGAAGAGAAGTTATATTATAATATTTGGTCAGCAGTTTGTTTTAACTTTTATCGAGAAAGGATTTTTCAGTAGTCCCCAAGTGAGTCTATTCGAGGACGGATTAATAATTTAAACTTGATATTTGTCGCCTTCGATATGGTTTTGAGTTTTGTGAAGACAGTTCATATCCTTTTGGTTAGGTATTGATGGGTTCTCTGGGCTTTATTACCTTTTTGGGAATGAATGTCTCGCGACATCTTCCTTCTGCTTCAGTTCGCAATCTTTTAATCTTTTAACGTTGACCTCATAACCTTAACAGAGTTATTTTGAAACAATGGGCCGCGAGGATGTCAGTCAAGGATTTTCCTAAAAGTTAATTAAAATGTGCAAAGTTCAAACAGTCCTACATTTCCAATAAAAAGTCTTAATTATGTTTGCTGCAAAAAATTGATGAACTCCAAACTGGTTTAGCATATGAAAGATTCACCAACATAGTTATGTACACAAGCTTTGTTTTTCAATCATATCTTGAACCATCTGGATCTCTGTGAAGCTGTGAAAAGGAGTAATAAATCTCTATTTAAAGCTTGTAAAATCCAAACAGCAAGATACTCCAAATTTCAATTAAAAGTCATGATTACATCTATATAAAAAAACTGATGACTTCCACAAAATTAGTGTTTTTTTTTTATCCATTTCCAAAGAAGGAAATAACAACTCTTGTGATAAAGAATCTCGCAGTTTTAATCTATCCCCTGAAAGAGAGATATTTTTCCCTTTCCCGGTTCCTAAGTGCTAAGTGCAAGTTTTGGAATGTTTTTGAAATGATCTACAGGAACGAAAAGGCTCGGAAAGATTAGTTATTATGTCTAATAACACGAGTTCGTGTCTTTCCAAGTCTAACTACGATGGCGAGATATGTCATCTTGATTTTTTCTTTAGAGTAGTTTTGATGGCTGCCATTGTCATCATCAGTGTTATGTCACCCGTGGCTGTGGTTGGAAATGGTCTGGTCTTTGCAGCGATTTGGAAAAACCCATCGCTTCGTAGAGCACCGTCTTACGTTCTACTCGCTGCACTGGCTTTCACTGACTTTTGCACCGGATTCATCACAGAACCGTTTCATGTCACAAATCTGTTATTGATATTGAAGGATCCCTCAGTGATCATCAAAAACAAATCTGATTACTCAATAAATTGGAGCTGGCCAACGTACTTTTTGATAACAAAAGTTATCGGCGAAGGATTCTTGGAGTACCTCTTCGCCCTAACTATTCTTCTCGTAACAGTAATGGCAATCGAACGCTGGCTGCAGATGAGTCGTCAGTCTTTAATGACCGTACGTCGAGCTTGTACAACTGTTGCTGTGTTATCGCTCTTGCCAATGTCGGTGGTTCTTTGCTATTTTCAGTTGAAAATAAGGATTGCTTATTTTATTTCGTATTTTTCATTCATTCAGCTTTGTTTGTTCGTCACTTCAGTAGCTTATTTTAAAGTTTTCAAGATAATTCGTCGCCATCAACACCAAATCAGTTTGCAACAGAACTTTGCTCAACCAGCAATTGACTTTCTGAAGTACAGGAGATCAGTTTTTTCCATTTTATTGATCTTGCTTATGTTTTATTTCAGTTATTTGCCCATGGCTATTCTCTTGATGATTATTTCAATCCATTCTGAAAAAGAACCCAGCATGACTATATATGCAGTTCTTGAGGTAACAGTTGTGCTCGCATTTTTGTCTTCCTCTCTTAATCCGCTACTTTACATGTGGAGAATAGCAGATATACGAAGAGAAGTTCGACAAATAATCAAAAGAATTTTCTGCAAAGAAAGCTGAACTCTGTAAAATGATTTTGGCCCGTTAACAGGTCATAACTGTAAATTAAAGAAGACCCGAGAGAATCTTTCAAGAATGAACATCAATTTGACATTGTCATCATCCGTGGAGGTGGACGCGCGCAAGCCGTGAACTGATTAAATATTTAAATAAACTTACATTGTAATTATAAATTGATTGGTTACCAGGTGCTTTAGGCAGGGTAAAATTCAGTTCTTCGGCTTTTCTCTTCAACCACTTTCTCGATCGTTGCAACTGTTTACAAATTAACATTCCGTTATATTTGATTAAATTTTCCCATCGAACCGTTGTCCACCCAGGAAAACGACTTTTTAAATACATTATTGTTTTAATAAAAACTTTAAGTTAAAAATGTAATCACAGTTATCAAATACATTACGAGTATGAATTATCAGTCTGAAATTTCCATCAATTTATTTTTACGTTGTACACGAGGTCTTAAAAAGTCGTCTAACTGCAAACGGCATGGTAACTACATGGCAAGGCCACCTAAGAGAGAAGACAAAACGATAAAGATGCTAGTCAGCAGAATTCTAATGCAAAAATCATTGCCAATTACAAAAGCAGGACATATTTTGTCTGCAATAACGCGTGATGCGTTATCAAAAACTTTTTCATCACGAACGTCTCAAAACGGCTAAGCAACGGCCGGATGTACTGTACATCTACCAACTCTTGATTTGCCATAAAATCAGAAAGTATTATTTCGAATCAATCAGGATTCATAGTTTTAACCAGCAAATTACACCTGCAGTACAACGTCAGCTTCCTCAAATTCTTTCTGGCGGTTTATTTGGTAACGGAAGCAGGGCATCAATTTCTTAGAAACTAAAAAATTTGAGATAATTTACAGTTAATCATAAGTATTTGTTCTATGCCACAAGTTTCCGCCATTGATCTCGAGATTAGACCTTTAGAAATGCGATGGAGTCATCGTTCAGGAGTGTTCGGAAGTTTTCGGATTTCCACAAATAGGTTCCGATGATTATTAGCCAACGAAACTACTTGCATGAATGACTGTTATCATATCTGCCCAGTTCTATTCTCAATTTTTTTTCCTTTTTTGAAAGATTACGTCCACATATTTTTTCTCTTCATCTTTGACGTGTTTGCTTTAAATAGGTCGATGTCAAACTCTTTTTCAGAGAAGAATTACCTGCAACTTCAATGCTTGCTCCCGTAATGTAACTGCTCCTCTCAGAAGCGAGGAATGTTACCACATCAGCTATATCTAACAAAATTGCAGAGAGGCAAAGTTAGTATTATACAGCCTAAAATTAAAAACAATTCAGAATAGAAAAGTTCACTTTACCTTTACAAAAACTGACATGTATGTAGCTTACGTGGGGGTTCCCTGGTGGGGAGGGTGCGGCTACACGTAGGCTAACATAAAATTATGATTAAGAACTGGAGCTTAATTATCACATATCAAGATATGTTGTGCAGGTTACACTCGTAATCAATCCCAATATAATTACAAGGATATTTGTTCTGTTCGAGGTGTTTGTCTAGTGAAATGTTGTGAAATCCGTGAAAAATAGTAATAATAATAACAACAATAATAACATTTATTTATGCTGCGCAAATTCAACTATGCAGTTTTCAAATGCGCCTTACAATTAAAGATAAAAAAGTAAAATACAATATATAAAATATAACAATATATAGTCAAAATTACACGAATGAATAATTATCTAGTCTACAAATTGCAATACTATATCAGAAAAGTAAAGAGTAAAGAGAGCGAAAGTGACCCTTAAGTGGAAAGCAAAGTAGGTTTAGGTCTGATGGAGAAGATCTGAACCTCTCTCGGTATTTACTCCTTCGCCACAACTGCACACGTCTAGAACAGGTTGCTTTCCTTCTAAATCTTACCTGATGGCTGCCCAAATCTCCCAAGAGGGATCTGTTTCTTTACCTGCCGAAACACAAACAACAACATGCATACCGCAAATTTATCATTTGGATGGGCATTTAAACAGGCAAGCCTAAGCGTGAATTTAAACACATGCGCGAGCAAGAGAGGGAGCTCAAGATGAATTCAGCAAATAGGACGGATTTGCCTCAACAAAGATCATGTAGCTACTGCAAGATCTACTTAACAAACTGGGAATTTGTTATATTCACATCATCTTTAGCAAATAAAATTCAAATCAAGAAAAGGGTCAACCTCATTATTAAGGAAAAAAGATAGAGACCATGAACACAAGGTTGGAAAAAACTGAGTGATCAATGGTTGTTTCTGTTTTGAATGTTTCCATTTTTACTTTCTTACCTGTTCAAGAACTTTCTCTGGGACAGCATCTGTCATTGGAGTCTTAATAAAGCCAGGCAGAATTGCATTACATCTAACACCAAATCTGCAGTCACACAACAAAGTAGCTGCTAACAATACTCAGAGTGCAAAGGTAAGGGTTCAACCAGTATATCAAGCTTCTATCTAACACACCAGGGCCCAGTTGTTTAAAGGTTGAACAACACTATCGACAAATAAATCACTATCCAGGAGATAAGGGTAAGAAAAACATACCACACTATCCAACAGATAGAGAATTTATCCAGTGGATAGTGTTATCCATCATTCAAACAACCATAGCTTGGTGACCCCCACCTATCTGGGCTTACCCTTGTTTCTGTAACATAAAGAAAGTGAGAGTGTTGATACACCTATAGCACCTATAGCACCTATAGCACCTACCTACAAATCCATGTCTATCACAGGTCACCCTTCAGCAATTTTCTATGTGTCTCTCCTCCCTGTACCCATGCATACTATTCAAAAGAGGTGGAGTGAGGATAAGGTGCCTGGCCTTCAGGCACATAAACAATGACCTACCCAGAACTAAAACCTGGACCCTGCCTTACATGCATTTCCTCACACCTCCTCCTATAGAAAGTATGTTGCATGATGAGTCCAGATACTCAGAGAAGTTAGCCTGAGTCTCTCTTAAGTAGAGATCAATGTCACACAAACACAGCTACCTTGCCAGTTCCCTTGCACAAGTCCTTGTCAAACCTTCAACACCAGCCTTGGACGCAGCATAATTTACTTGACCAAGATTTCCTATCTGGTATGAAGACAACAGAATAATACATTACAATCACAATCAATGAAGATTGTGCCCTTTCCTTCTTTACATAGGTTGGCTCTAGCAGACCACATTAAAAATTTGTGTGAATGTCATCTGTGTCAGATAAGGAAATTAGCCATACTTTCACTAGCCACATGCTTGTGCTTCTCACTGAGGTTAAGCCTGTTGGCTGGAGTTATGACTAGAATGGGTGACCACACAATATCCTGCATCATTGAGTTTCCTTCTTATTGTCTTAACTTTTTCAATTACATTCCCGTACTTTGAAGAGTCAACATCAAATTAATTATTTTCCTTGTAAAAACCAAACTGACTGTAGAAAACAACCATTGCATCCCATGTAAACATCTCCAGGTGCCTGGTTTAATTTCAATTTTATCTTTCCTGCTCATTAGAATCTGTGATATGCTTTAGAGAACAATTAAAAAGTCACTTGATGCACCTGTCTCTCAACATGAAAATGGCTATATAAGTGTAAATGACCATGATTGTTATCTTGGAACCTCTGGTACTTATTTGTAACTTTGATCAGAGCACAAAAAATTACTGGTTTTGTAAAGAAACATACCTTTCCTGATATGCTGGCAAGATTTATGATAGATCCATTTGTAACTCTTTGACTGACCATCAGTTTAGCCACTGCTTGAGTGACAAGAAAAGTTCCCTGAATTAAGTAAATACAACAGAAAATGATCAGTATCAGTTATTTCTTTGACATAGTTACACATTACTTACTATATCTGAAGTTGTTTTAGCTTTTAGTGATAAAAACATCATTGACTCTTACCTTGAGATTCACTTCAATAACTTTGTCAAATTTTTTTTCATCCATCTTTATCAAGAATTCATCTTTTGTGATTCCAGCTGAATTGACTAAGATACATGGTGGCTTCTTATACTCACTGATGATACACTCAAGCACTTTTTGTATCTCTTCTCCACTTGCCACATCCAAAGAGTAGTTCATGTGTTTGTTGTTGGCATGTTTTGAAAGGCTGTCAGTAGTGTCCTGTGCTCCTTCAATGTTAAGATCAGTAACTACGATACTTGCTCCTTCTGTTGCTAAAGCTTGGCAAACTGCTCGACCAATACCACTGGCACCACCTAGCATATTGCAATTGATCACAATAACTTTTGGCTTTTTTGGCCTCAATTTCATCTCACGCTTTCCTCTATTTCCCCCCCCCCCCATGTGTGTGTTATTGCATTATGTAATTGCCTTCATTATGTACTGTTTTCTTCGGTTTGTTCCTCTCTGAATTGCGTCCATTGGCATTTATCCCTGGATTCAATTTAGTTATTGTCATTGTTCTGTATTATTTTGAACAAAGAAGTGTATGCATAACAAAGTACGGGACTGCACGGAAATCTTGCTGCAACACAGGCAGCCTAAGCTCAGCTGTGAGATGCTCCTGAGAGAAGGATCTTCCCTTATGAGTAGTAAACCTAGGAATGCATAACTTGCTAAAATGACCTCGTTGCAACAAAGTAAGAAGTCAGACAACAAGCGATGCACTGTGAAAGTAAGCTGAGGTATTTTTATTGAGAATTCGACTGTATCTTTTTATTCCTAAGAGCAATCGTAAATATTCCCAAACAAACTGTTATATTTTCGCCATTACTCTTAATTCACACTGCAAGATGACCATCTCACAGCTGGAGCTTGGGCTGCCTGTGGCTGCAAAAACCCTCTTTTGGTAAGAAAATAAACTTGGATACTTGTCCACCAACATTATCGATCCGTTCCGAAGAGCAAATAGTTTCCTACGACATGCGTAAAGCTCGAGGCAAGCGAGCAGGTTTTGCCAAGAGCAGAATCAAAGTAAAAACTATGTGACCAGCTCTCCCAGTCCCATTAAATGCATACTTTTAGGTGCATGACAGGTAATTGTATGACCCATAAGAAATCAAAAGCATGGGAAGCTCTACACATGTTAGCTAATCTTACCAGTAACTAAAGCTAACCGACCAGAGAGAACGCTCCCGGCGGCCATCTTGGTGATTCCCACTGTCGAGGCCTGGTAGCATGGAACGTTGTCATGTTAACTCCATGAAATGTCTTAGAAGTTCAATTTACAATTATTTAATGATAACACATTTTCTGCCTGACTGATAATTGATGGAGGTATCACTAATGATACTCAAGCTGCTGCCAGTGGTCACTTGAGCTATGACGCCACCCGTATTTACTCGTCAGAAAAATTAGTTAGAAGTGGGGAGCCGGTTTTCTTTCTGTTCTTTGATTGGTTGAATCCGTTTAATGTTAATTTTCCATACAAATTAATACGAAACAGTAACCACAGGCTAATGCAAACACTTTTAATGAGAGCTGACACGAACTAAAGCGAAGTCGTTGCTCGTCCCTCTGAGATTTCAATTCTTCGAACAGTTCAAAGATTAACCAACGAAAGGAACCTTTTCAATATGGTACGTTTTTTTATTTACCTTTTTTTTATGAGTGCTGGTTCGTCAGGATCACAATTTGCATTACATCAACAAAGCCTGAAAAGCGCAATAAATCAGTGGATTTCCTTAATTACCATTTTAAGTAGCAGACATCGTAGTAAAGGAAAATAGTTTTAAAAAAATAGAATGTAACCTGTTCTAGGCGCTAAGTTTGAAGGACGAGCAAAAATGCCTGGAGCGAGATGCGAAGAAAATTATGTAAACTTAAAGGACAAATGGTATAACATACCTTTCGAAACAAATTAAACTGCGAGGCATACTCCACCCTTGATTACTACATTTGCTGTGGTATCGAAAGTACGATCCTATGCCAGTTCTTAGTATTATTCTCGTTTCATTTTATTATTTCGTTCCAGCGTGAGTGTATTTCAATACATATCGGTCAGGCTGGATGTCAGATGGGGAATGCTTGCTGGGAGCTGTACTGCTTGGAGCACGGGATCCAGCCCGATGGACTGATGCCAAGTGATCAGACTATCGGGGGAGGAGACGATTCATTTAATTCGTTTTTCAGCGAAACTGGATCAGGAAAACACGTCCCAAGGGCAATATTTGTCGATCTGGAGCCTACTGTGGTTGGTGCGTCAAAATCATGATTTTGAATTTTCCCTTCAGTGCTTCCTAACTAATTTTATTTCACTTTCTCTGCAACAGTCATCTGAAATCAAATATTAAATTTACATTTTCTCATTTAAAACGCAACTTGCGTTTTAAGTGAGAAAAAGTTCTGTAAGTAAAAAGCCTCCTACGATGACGACCACAGTCTGGTTTATGACAAAAAAGTGTTCTTTCAATTGCGAATCTTTCGTGAAATGTTAAGATTTCTGGCGCCCTCGAGATGGAAAGCCCCCCAGGTTCTCTGTTATGAAATTTTATCTGAAGTCGTTCTGTAAATGTTTATGATTTCGTTTTCGTGCGATCAATTAACTAATTATTTTGATATTTGCGCGCTTTAATCGCAAGCTCTGACGGATATTAGATTCTGAATTTTAAAGCTGTTCACAAGATCCTCCTACAAGTGATATTCTTTCCTTTATTCAAATTTTTGCTGAGAAAGAAAGAAAGATCATATGACTTAGCCCAATTTACCATTAAAATATCATATCTATGGTAATCAGTGACAACTTGTGAGTTGTTACGTCAATTTAAAAGTCGCCACTTTGAGAACTCGCTAAATCGAGAAATATTCTAACGCACAATCTTTAACTACAAAAAGTTTCGGGCCAGATTTATTCTCGTGCATCTCATACCTTAAAATTCGTAAAAATCATACGAAATTACTCAGTGGTACATGTATAAAAAATGTCCTAATGGCGTGAGTTTCTCGGGAGACGGCACTTTCAATTAAGAATTTTTCACTCATAATTCAATAGGCAATTTTAGAGAGGCCTGAAGCTTCCTTTACAAAGAGAGTCTTAATACAAAGCCTTTGATGAAAAAATCGTTCTATCATGCTGATAAAACTAATTTTCACAAGAAAGGTTTTACGATTAGCCTTATTGCGGAAAGTGAAAGTTATAAGTGCTCAGAAATGGTCTATTCAACAGAAACAAAATGTCTCAGGATAACAAAAGCAAATCACTGTGAGAAAAGCCTTGACGCAGACTGAAAGCTCTGGGACAAACCTTAGGGTAATGACTCGGTCTTAAGCTAAAAAAGCTAAAACAAGCCATCCATGAAAAACACGTCTTCGACAGTTAACGTGCATGTATGTATAATTGAGAGTTTAAGTTGAAAAAAATCATTTTTGGTTGGTATTTACAACATATCAATTTGACATCAAGTGGCAAGTTGTCGCGCAAGTGAAAAATGACGACAGACATGTTGGCGGCCTTGTAAGTGTTCTTCAAGCTGAACGCTTTTAAAGATCCATAAAAGATGCACTATCGCTAGCGTGGTTTGGCAGAACATAAAATTCAACACATTTTGCTTTTATTAATTTCATACTCGCTTCAGTTCCTATGAAAATTACTGAGTACCTCATCTCTCCCTTTATACATCTCTATACCATTCGTCATCTGTTTACATCTCATCACCTCCTTTATATCGACTTTCGTACCTCATCCGCCATCCATGTTACTCTCATCTCTTCATTTTCCCATTATTCTGAGAATTTCCTTGGGAAAACTCCACTTCACGGCTCTAAAATACTCTGGGTGTCCTACTCTAATACTATGATCACACTTTGACATGAATCCATATTTTTACCACACTAGGTAAACATAATTTAAGTATTGGTAAATCTCTCCCTCTCTCCACGCTCTCCTTATTGAATCATCGCCGGATTTCTGTATGCCGTCTTGAAAAATTTAGCCTTTTGAAGGATGGCAATTTGCAATGCGCGTAGATCTTCTTTAAAACTTAATCAGTCATCCTCATTCTTTTCAAGGTTATCCCTTTAATGTTGTGAAAACTAATATGTTGTGGTTTTCTTCGGGTTTGAGTTAATTTTCTTGTAAAAGCAAACGCTTCGTGCTCTCTTGGCGTGTATAGCACCTTTCATTTACCACTACGTACATCTTTCTTCGATCCTTGTACAGATGAGATTCGTACGGGCACGTACCGTCAGCTTTTTAATCCTGAACAACTCTTCACCGGGAAAGAAGATGCCGCTAATAACTATGCACGCGGTCACTACACCGTTGGCAAACAGCATGTCGATCAAGTATTGGATAAAACCAGGGCATTGGTATATAATTATTTGTTAATGATATCTGATTTATTTTAGTGCGATGATATCTGATTTTGTTTCAAAAAAACACGTTACTATGCCTTTTTTCGTTTATTTCATATTTTATAACAGTACCACGGCGAAAGGTCATTGGAGTGAAAATTTAATCAACTGAATTCGAATACATTTTGAGAACATAAAAAGAAATACTGGAGAGAATGAGAAAACAAAATCTTAAATTGAAGTAGAACAACTCTTTTTCAAGTCAATAACAAATTTTTATAGCCAATCATTTCCTATTGTATCACTTTTAATATTTAAACATTGACCATTTCTGCCACCGAAAATTATCCTTTTTTTTTCTTGATATTATTTTTTTTTCCACTTCTCTACATGGGTCTTCAGGCTGATCAGTGCTGTGGTCTACAAGGCTTTTTAGTCTTTCACTCCTTCGGGGGAGGCACAGGATCTGGTTTTACCTCCCTTCTAATGGAGCGCCTTTCTGTCGAGTACGGCAAGAAATCAAAACTACAATTTTGTATCTATCCAGCACCTCAAGTATCCACAGCCGTAGTCGAGCCTTATAACGCCATTCTCACCACCCACACCTCCCTTCAGCACACGGACTGCGCGTTTATGGTTGATAACGAGGCTATTTATGACATCTGTCGTAGGAACCTCGACATCGAGCGGCCAATGTATTCCAATCTGAATCGTCTGATTGGTCAGATAGTATCATCAATCACTGCCTCACTTCGTTTTGATGGCGCATTAAATGTGGATTTAAATGAATTTCAGGTTGGTATGGGTTTCTACCTCGAGGAAGTGGTGAACAACATTTTGACGAATCGTAAGACAAATTTAAGGAAGTAAGCTTGAGATTATCGGCCGATAGTCCATTTTAAAGTAGCATGCTTCGTTACCAGCCTTTGAACAGAGTGAGGCGAAGGGTGACCTTGTTAAGATACAAACGTTGCTGCTTTTCAAATGTAAATTACTCTCAAATCATGCTGGCAAGATACTGGTCTCTCTCACGACAAAACCACCTTCAGCTTCACTCCAAATCAAAGGCTTGGCAATTAAGTAAACAACTGTAAAATGGCCTATTAACTAAGCACAAAATAAAATGCGCTTGTAGAAGCTATAACCAAAGAATGCAATTTATAATCAACCCAGGCTGGTGGGATGCGACAAAAGAGTCTTTTTTTCGGCTTTTTGTTTTTTTATCATCTTCCAAGTGGTATAAGTACGATCACCCAAAGGATATTTGTATGCGATTCGCATGGAGTGAATTGGTTCCGCCGGTCACAAACAATCGTAACACAGAAAATACGAAGTAAGACTGTATTTTGATAATTTTCAAAATCAGTATAGAGAACGATGGATGTCGGACGATTGAACTAGGTGCAAGAAATTTATCTGGTCACTCATCTGTATATACAGTCATTTATTTCTGCATTTATTTTTGATCACTTTCATTTTTATCCTTTCTTTCTAGACTAACTTAGTGCCATATCCTCGGATTCATTTTCCTCTCGCAACCTATGCTCCGGTTATTTCTTCAGAGAAGGCTTATCACGAGCAGTTAAGCGTTGCTGAGATTACAAGTGCCTGCTTTGAATCAGCCAATCAGATGGTGAAATGTGACCCTCGTCTCGGCAAGTACATGGCTTGCTGTTTGCTGTTTCGTGGCGATGTGGTCCCAAAAGATGTAAATGCGGCCATTGCTAGCATCAAGACGAAGCGCACGATTCAGTTTGTGGACTGGTGTCCCACGGGATTCAAGGTCAGAGAGATTCTTTACCTTTTGAGGAAATTACACTTGCTCTTGCCAATGTGTCGGTAACAAGATCACAACTAAAAACTTGCAACCTAAAATTATCCAAAATATTACACGATGATTAAATATAGGTAATGTTGCTTTACGCTCCTTGAAGCTCGGAGATGATGCTAGTAATTAAATGCATCATTGTTCCAGATCTCACCTGGAGCTCGTTTCTCGAAAGTCCTGATAACTTTACGGAGCGCAAATTACACAAATGTTTGCCTTGATAGTGAGGTCCAGATATGATCTGCTCCAATACGCATGCGCAATATGAATAAGGTTGCTCTTCTAAGACGCCCACTTAGTCGGAGACTGACAGCAATTTCTTAGACAACTGTAATCTAATTTCAGTAAGATAGACGATCCTTGAATCTCAGAAATTTTTATACAGTTTCTTTTTAACTATGAAAAAAGAAGGTTATTTTCTATACCATCAACGGTTTCTTTGTTGTGGTGAAAACAGGTTGGAATCAACTACCAGCCTCCCACAGTTGTTCCTGGCGGTGACTTAGCAAAGGTTCAACGCGCGGTATGTATGTTAAGTAGCACCACAGCCATTGCAGAGGCCTGGGCCCGTCTGGATCATAAGTTTGATCTGATGTACGCCAAGCGCGCATTTGTCCACTGGTATGTGGGTGAGGGTATGGAAGAAGGAGAGTTCTCTGAGGCTCGTGAAGATTTGGCTGCCTTAGAGAAGGATTATGAGGAAGTTAGCTTGGATACCACTTATGGATTGGAAGAAGATGAAGAAGAAGAGTTTTAATCATTAAATGAAAACTTGTATACTCTGTTGTCTAGAAAGAACTTTCATTTTTAATAAATTAATGTTTGCTTCCCTTTTCTACGCCGCAGAGTTCCGACAAGTATCATGGATGTCTGTTTTGGGAATAGCTCGTTTTCGTATTTTTTTTTTCCATTGTATATAATTTGTCATTATTCTAACCTCTCGATCGGGTAACCGGTGGTGACACGGTGAAAATAGGAAATTCTTTGAACTGACCTTTTCAATCATGTTATATTATGTGAGATACGAGGAAAAAACGAAAAAGGGTAAAAAAGAAATGAGTGCAAGGCAAATACCGTACTGAACACACGTCCAACTGTTCAAACTTTCCTAGCCTCCAGTTTCCGCGCGGTAACATATTAGTACATAGGTGCTGGAGCGATGTAACAGAATTATGCAGATCGGGATTGCGTTAAGTCATTGAAGTGTGGCTGTTTAGCTTTTTTATAAACTCTTGGACCCCTGAGAGTAACTTACATGTTATCTCTCTTAACAATGTCACACCTGAATCACACACTAAGGTCACGAGATAAAGGAAATGTTTACCAACTAAAGAAGCTCTTGATTATTATACAAATTCTCCCTGTCAGCACCCTTGGAAATGTATAGAGAACATTGTCGAGAATATGCATTCTGATTTTCCGGTGTAAAGTGTTAAAGCGGCGACGAAATTTAAATCGAGTATCTGATATGCGACGAGCAGTTTTAATTACAATTGGAAACGAATGAAGAGGAAAAATTGCAACAGGGCTTGCTTTCTTGTATATACGCATAAAAGAAGTGATTTTACGTTGTTTGTGGAGAACAGTTAGGAATGGTACAAAGTTTCAGGAGGCACGTGCCGAACCATTATTCTGTCAATGAAATATTTTGTTTGCCTCGTGCTCTCTGCTTCAAGCGTTTTAGTTGGCTTGTAAAGCAAACATCTAACCCTCCTCCCCCCTCTCCTCAGTGAAGAGAGTGTTTCTCTGAGACAATATAATATTCTAGTAGGGTACTGTGACCTCGCCGACACTCTGTTCGACAGCTGGCAATTATGACTGAGGTGAATTAAAACGCTTAAGCCAGCAAATGGATGTACTTACACAACCCTATTCAATTAGACGCTCTTAATCTTTGGCGACTTTCTGATGGATTGAAATGTTAATAGCGCATTTTTAGATCGCGTGATTAGGCTTAAATCCATTTACAGACACCGCATTTTTATCGTCGAAGTTGTCGATGTTAATTCCCGGTTTCAATTATATATTTTTGGACTCTGAACTCCTAAGAAATGGACTCAATATAGCTTCAGACGTGCATTGGTCCTTCTTGGTTATAACAAGGCGCCTGAATGGCCTCGTTCGATATTTCACCCCGATAAAATGAGTATGATCCCACCAAATACAATATAAAAAAGTTAAAATTAATTTCAAAAGTTCTGGAAATTTAGATTGAGTAACCCGAACACCAATAGTTGTTGAAAAGAATACATACTTCGTCAAACAAAAAGCAAAACATAAACAAGTTTACCTTTTAAATGTTTCTGATGATTTGGATTTTTTCAATCACAAGTCGCAAAACATTTTTTTCAAATTTTCGCATTAATTAAGAGCTAATTAATGTGATCAATACTACATAACTCTTTTACATTTTCCTTGTTGAAAATTCCGTAACTCTTTTTAAACCCGTACTTGAGAGAAAATAAACCATCAAATCCGTTTAAAATCAGATTGCGTGACTGACAGCTCAATAGAATATTCATACGAACTAATACAGTTCCTACTCCTCTCAGTTATTTTTTAACTCTCTGAGCATCTATAGCCCAAGATGGACCTAATTATGACCCTATCCCAGAAAAAGTTCAGTTAGCGTTGTTCATGAATGATTCCAATACTTAAATAATTGTGTTCAACCTCTTACCACTACTTCAAGTAGGCTTTTAGGCCGGAAAATCGATCACGTGATTTACACGCCCACGCGACTTGATAAACCATCTCTCAAGCCACATTTTACAACCCGCAAAATCTTGCAAACAATTGTGGGAAGTAATCTTGAACGCATACGAATTTAAATCCCTTTGGAAATGTTTTGAATCATCCTTTAAGCTTGTGCGTTTTGAACACATAAACTTAAACAGCCGCAATTTCGCATGTATTGGTTCAGTAAGCGCAATACGTAATACTGAGGGTCATTACATATATGGTGAGGTAAGGGTCCACTTAACAAACCAAAATCATTATCAATGTCTTAGTAACAATGGAACTGTGGCCAATATTTTGTTCATGACCATGTAGATCGAACAAAATCAAGCTCACTGCGGCTGCCTCGTGCATCGTGCGGCATCGTCAGTGATTTGGCAGTTGGTTGGGTCTAAGTCCATAGAGGTGAGTGAAACTTTATTTTTAAGAACTGGATCTGTTTCCCACTCAATAGGTTTTTGAAAAGAGACGTTTACCTACAAATATTTTGTGGTTTCTAAAGTAATGGAACTGTTGATCGGGGGAGATGGAAAACTATTTGTTCCAGCTCAGAAGCAAACACTTCAGCAGATATATGACGATATCCCTCACGTGGGTGTCCTGTGAGTAAGAGCAGAATAAGCGATAAATGTTATGATAAAAAGATGTCACTTCCAAATTTATCTTTCATAGGTGCCAATGGTCATGATTAAAACGAGATTATTAAATTCTTCGTTGTGTCGATCGACCAGTTTTTACGTCATGTTTTCTTTAACTTGGTATGTAAGCATATATCGCCGATCAAACAGGATACATGCATTTTAATGAGTATAGTGTTAGAAACCTAAGTTGGAGTACGTGGTACGTCACATGATCCAATTTCCCTACCCTCTCCTCCCTACAGATTTATTCATGCTTCACGAGTCGTGTTTTGGTGCAATCTTTAAAGAAACCGGCTGGTCTCAAGATGTTGTGTTTTACCCATGTTTTTATTTTAGCGAGGGAGATTTAGCTGTGGAAATCGCTGTAGGAAGAGACTAAGTCGAGGGCTACGAAAATCCGATGGAGGAACAACCGGTGTCGTCCGAAACATCGAGCGATGCTCCTTCTTTGAGGTTCAATGTTAACCAAGTTAAGTTAGATCTTCCTGAAGAAATCGCGGACGAAGGAAGAGATCCGAGCCCAAGGATGACTTTTCCTGATTCGGAGACGCCAGACCGACCTCTCTCTTCTCTTGATGACGCCAATACAATCGGCTACGCGACTCACGATGCTGTTCCTATGACTGTGTTCTATCGAAATGACAACTCGCAATCGAATACAGCGAAGAAGTCGCGGCCAACACTGAAAGAATTGAGGAAAGGTTTCGAGGAAGACCACGAGCAACAGGTAATTTACATCTAGCCCATTTCCTCTGTTTTATTTCACCGCCAATCTAGCAATAATTTGTATTTTGCTGGAGCGGAAACTTTAGGAATTTTTCCACCGACATGCACAATGCTTCGGTGCGGTTGGTGTGTTAAAATTACGAACGTTAAGTTTCTGTTTAAAAATGCATTTTCTATTTGTCGCGTTGTTTTCTTCAGGGCAGAAAAAAACTGATACAAGATATGGCCTACATTTGTTCTAATTTTTTATTCAAATTTTGGAGTACTTGGATAACTTCCCAATTATAATTAGGGTGCTGAAATGAAATTGTTCATACTCACTCATTCATGCGTTGTCAAGATCAATATCGTTGTGTGCGATATTTTTGTGGCTGCAGTGTAGCTATATCACTTTTATCGTTTATTCATGATATAGGATATTAAACATTCATCAACGGTTACGAAACTTGCTTCATTCAGCTTTTGAATTCTTTGGTTTCGTAAAATATTGCATCGAGAGACAGAAGATCGAAAGAAAAACATTTCTGATTGCGTCTTGAAGTCTGTATAAAAGCGTATGAATTTTTTTGTTTTTTTAAGTCGGGCGAGTGTTAAAAAGTCTTAATAGGTAATCTTTGAAATAATAAGAAGCGTGTTTATAAAACTGGTTCTCGATCTTTCTAGCGATAAAAATCTTCTCAGTAAGGGTCATATCTTTTGACAATTCTTTTATGCTATTTTTGTACATCTTCAATATTTGAACAAAAATTTGGAAATGATTGTATTATGGACATTGTTTGTATTGTATAGGCAATAAGTCCTTATTTGACCCTGATCATAAATGCTCTTCCACACAATGCAATTAAATTGATGTCAAACGTTTCCGCTTAAACAGAAAAAAATGAATTAAACAGCAGTCTACTGTATTCGAATACAACTCAGAATAGAGAGACCAAATTTTTCTGCTAACAACCACCGTAACTCTTTGTGTTAAAGAAATGCATGAATGGGCAACAGTCATAATTGTGTTTATTAGACCTTCAGTGATAAATCAGAAGTGCTACCGATCTTTGATGTTATTGAGAATCAATTCATTTCTCTCCACAGTATTTACATCTGAAGAAAATACAGTCTCTTTTATTTATGATCTGTTTTCACTTGTTATGACTGTGTTGTCCTGTTTTTTAATGTGATATTATTACAAGCTTGATCCTCTTTCGGCAAACATGCAGCCTTTCATTTGGTGTAATCTGTTTGACACTAATCCCTTTCAACTTGTTAAAGGCAAAGCTTAATCTCTTGTGAAAAAAAAAGGAATAACACTTGTTCTGTCACTATTAAGTCTCTTACAAGGATTGTTTGTGTAATGGCCAGTGCATAAATGAAGCTGACCAACAGTAATGCTTCCCCTCCCTTTAGATGGGATACTGGTCTATTGTTATTTACCTCCAGTCCCTCTTCTCTTCCCCCCCCCCCTCCACACAACCCCCTTTCATTGTTTCATCAGAGTTTGATGCATTCTGTTTTTACCCTTTTATCCTGCTGGGCAAAGAGTTAGGCATTGTTAGGTTTAAGTGTTTTGCTTATGACCCAGCACTATGAGGCTGATCAGGACCCAGACATGGATTTATTAGCACAACTACAGAGTGTTAGTAGGGCACTGAGTTACCCAATTTTTTTGCCCATGAGATACAAATATACCTTAAGATTATAAAAAGTCTAATACCATGTACCAAACATTACCTTGAGCTGTTTGCACCTGTACATATACCTATATACTAAATACCAAAAAATTCCCATTAAAATGAAATAATTTGTTTCTTTTTCCTGATGCAAAACCACTGCCTACACTGTACCTGAGCATAAAACACCCTATCTTACTCAATACTTCTCTATGTGCAGGTCCTTTTGAATCCTAATTTCAGTTCTCTAGCCATTGTGTCAGTCAAATTTTATTATCTACTAGTTGTGACTTTATTTTTATGTTTGTTATATAATTTGAGGTCATTCTTTGGCCATCTTTGTAGGACGAACCTCAAGGTGTGGATGATGTTGAAAATGGGGATGTTGGTAATAACGAAATAGCCATCCAAATCAAGAAAGACCAAAAGGTGAAGGTTGCCCCCAAGTTTGGATGGCTGAAAGGTGTCATGTTACGATGTCTTCTCAACATCTGGGGTGTTATGTTATACTTGCGACTCTCATGGGTGGCAGGTCAGGCTGGAATCGCTTGGTCAACTGTCATCATTGTGTTATCTGCCATAGTGACAATGTTAACCACCTTATCCATGTCGGCTGTGTGCACCAATGGTGAAGTGAAAGGAGGTGAGTTTAGTTACATGTACTTGAAACAGGAATGAATGAGTGCTGAATGGTACTTTGGAAAATCCTAGGTCTTTTTATCTGATCTCTAAATCTCACAGCGTTTGTGAAGAGTCTTGAAGTGTCATTTATTAGGTACTTTATTATAGAGTGTGTTTTATGATTTGATTGTTAGAGCATTTATATCCTGATGCTGAAGACATTTGAGCTCCGTCTTTTCATGCAGCAGCACCATACTTATGGAACAGACTTCCTCATGAAATTAGAATGATTGAGTGTTTGGATAAATTTAAAAAAGCTATTAAAACATTTCTGTTTAATGAAGCTTTTAGTAATCATTAACTCAGATATACTACATTAAAATAATTTATTCTTATATATTTTTAGCTACCATTACTATTGTAAATTTTATTTAGATATATAAAATTTTTAATTTTTATTCAGTGTAAAGCACTATTGATCTGTACATGTAAATAGGGCTATACAACTGATAAATTATTATTATTATTATTATTATTATTATTATTATTATCCTGCCTTTGATCCACAAAAATAAATGAAACAATGATGGTGTTTGACTGGTGAGATACTGATTACGGTATTTATTCACTTATAAGGCACACCATTTTTTATGAGAAAATATGCTTGTTTGATCAAAGTCTGCTCAAAACTTGGGGTGCATCTTATAAACTACCAATGAAAGAACTTTCTTAACTGTGCTTTTTGCTCTCATAAACAGGTGGTGCATACTACTTGATATCACGCAGTCTTGGCCCAGAGTTTGGTGGCTCCATAGGATTGATCTTCTCTGTGGCAAATGCTGTAGCTGTTGCTTTGTATGTTGTTGGTTTTGCTGAAACCATTAAGGATATAATTAAAGAGAATGGTGGCGATGTGGAGTTGATTGGGGAACTGAACATCATTCGTATTGTTGGCATTGGCACAGTTATTCTGCTTCTGTGTGTCACTCTTGTCGGCTTAGAGTGGGTTGTGCGCACTCAGATGTTTCTCCTTTGCATCCTTCTTGTCTCAATTGTTGATGTCATAATTGGCGTTTCCATTGGGCCACAAAATGAAACATCTCGTGCAAAAGGATTTGTTGGATTGGACTTAAACCTGTTTAAGACAAACTTTGGGCCGGCATACCGTGAGGGTGAAAACTTCTTCTCTGTGTTTGCTGTGTTTTTCCCAGCAGCTACTGGTATCTTAGCTGGAGTTAACATCTCTGGTGATCTCAAAGATGCGCAGAAAGCTATCCCCAAGGGAACGTTGTGGGCTATATTGATCAGCACAATTATTTATGTCCTTCTTGACTGGTTGGCTGCGGCATGTGTGTTACGAGATGCATCGGGCGTGGTGCTAGCAGTTGTAAACCAGACATTGAATGCTACAGATGCTCCTGGTCAGCATTGTTCAGCTGACTTCAGCTGTCCTTATGGATTAATGAATGATTTCCAGGTATGAAAAACAAGTATGAAGATGTGAAAATCAGTGTCTTTTGGGTGGTAACTGGCTCACACTGAGATGTTTGTACATGGATATTAAACCTCTGATTATAAAGTACTCTTTTTTGCAGGTGATGGAAAAGATTTCAGCTTGGGGACCAATAGTTACTGGGGGCATCTTTGCAGCAACTCTTTCTTCAGCACTGGCCAGCTTAGTTGGTGCACCAAAAACATTCCAAGCTCTTTGTAAGGACAACATCTTCCCTGGGATCCATTACTTTGGTGTAGGGGTGAGAAGATTATTTTGATACATGTATGTTGTAGAGTTTGGAATTGTGGGTCTAATTCTATTTCTCACATCTTAAGGGCTTTGTGGGTGGATACTGCAAATAGGTTTTTTTTTTTTCTTTTTTTTGCATTACATGAAGTAAATAGGAGTACTTTTAAACCTTTGATCCTTAGGAGTGACCAGCATTTTAGTTCTCCTCACGATAACACCCCTGAATCACACATTTAGATCAAGAGAATATAGGAAATGATCACTAACTAAAAATATCTTGATTGTTAAACAAATTCTCCTTGTCAGCAGCTTAGGAAATGTTTAGAGAACAGTATAGAGAATATGCATACTGATGTTACAGTGCAAAGGGTTAATCCTCCTGAAAGGAATCAGATCCCGTGTCTAAAAACAAAACCAATGTAACCACAACAGCCAATTGGGGCAACGTTCAATACTTGTCTCCCAAGGGACTGGTGAGAAATGAAATTTAAAATGTACAAACTGTCCAAGCTGTGAAAAAATTCGGGTGACCTATTGGAAATTGGTTGATTTGTTGTTTTGAATCTGATTGTTGAAGAAAGAAAAATAAATGGAGGATGGCACAAGTTTCTGAACCAATCACAGAACGTAGTAAAGAATAACAAACAGTCTTTGATTGTGATTATACTTTAAATTTCCTCTCAACAGGTTGGGCCTGGAGATGAGCCTCGTAGAGGATATATCTTCACATTCCTTATTGCCGGTGCCTTTATTGCAATTGGAGAATTGAATGTCATTGCTCCAGTTATCTCCAACTTCTTTCTCATGTCCTATGCACTAATCAATTATGCAGTGTTTGCAGCATCGCTTGGCAAGTCCCCCGGGTGGAGACCATCTTTTAAGTACTATAACATGTGGGTGTCCTTGGTAGGGGCTATGGTGTGTATAGTGATCATGTTCCTCATCAATTGGTGGGCCGCTCTGGTGACCATTGTTATCATTATTGCCTTGTACAAATATGTGGATTACAAAAAACCCGAGGTTGGTAGAAGTCCTTCTATGATTGATTAATTAATAATAATTGTAATACATAAGGCTCATGTAAAGAAAGGGTTATTCCGTGAAACTTTGGAACTGTCGCAAACATTAACTACTAAATACTAAAACCAGAAACGTCCCTTGGCGAAGAGGAAAGATTCTGTGGAATACAAAGATTACAAGAGCGAAAGGAAATTATTTTTTCAGCATAGAAAAATAGTCTTTAAAAAAGACATTTCGAGTGCCGTCGTTCAAAACTGCAATATTAATTTTCAAATCCTTTTCAGGTCAACTGGGGTTCGTCTGCGCAGGCGTATACTTACACCCGGGCACTACGTTTCACTTACCGTCTCAACACTGTTGAAGATCACGTGAAGAACTTTCGTCCCCAGTGCCTGGTTTTGACTGGTTCTCCCTCGTCCCGTCCAGATCTGGTTCACCTGGTGTCGCATATCACACGTAACAGAGGCTTAATGGTTTGTGGTCAAGTTAAACTCGGCCCGTTTGGTTCTGTCTCCGGTTACGAAGATGCGTGGTTGAAACAGTCCAAAATAAGAGCATTCCATACCATATGTACAGGTAAACTGACTTGAAACTCAGCGTAGATTACATTCCGATCGAGTATTGCAAAACCATAGTAACCAGCGAGACCAACCATAACAAAAGAAAATATGAGAAGGTGCTGACGAGAATTAGCCTTGAGTTTGTTTCAGTTTTTCGGTATATTTATTATTAAATGACTGTGGATAGAACATCTTAGTATAATAATTGCGCAAATGCCGCAAAGGTGTGATCTTAACCTGGAGGCGAGCAGGCCATCAAAGTTTGCGCTTCAGTGCGAGCGTTTCTTTGCCCGTAAGAAAGCTTGAGGGCTTGAGTAACCACTAGCCAGTGAAAGGTCGGCAAGGGATCTGGCGCTGATAATGATTATAAGTTCCAGATCCCTTGCAGACCTCTCTCCGGCTCGCTTTGCTCAAGGCCTTAACCCTTTAACCCCTGAGGGTGACCAGCATCTAATTTCTCCAAATTACACATTAGGGTCACTAGAATAAAGGAAATGATCACCAACTAAGGAAGCTCTTTATTTCTAAACAAATTCTCCTCGCCAGCACCCTAGGAAACATGTGGGGAACAGTATGGAGAATATTCATACTGATGTTAGGTTGTAAAGGATTAAACACACTTGCAGGCGAAGAAACGCTTGTACTCATGCCCTCATTCTGAGGGCGTGGGTAGTGCGATCCCTAAGTATTTATTGAAATTACTGATTACGAGGCGAGAATTTCACATTACTGATCAAAACTGCTTTTTGAGTTTTAAGGTTTTTTGCAGATACCTGTAATTTTTAATCTTAAAATATTCATATCCAATCTTTCTCTAGCACCCAGTTTCCGAGAAGGCGTCCGCGTCATGTTACAAACTGTAGGCCTGGGAAAGATGAAACCCAACACGGTGATCCTCGGTTTCAAGCGAGACTGGAAAAAACTATGCAAAACAGAGCAGGGAAGGGAAGAGGTGAAAGAATACGTCAATGTCGTGCACGATGCTTTTGAGCTGAACTTCGCCGTATCGATCCTACGTTTCAGAGGCGAGCTCGACTTGAAAGAGTTGGCTACCCACGCGGAGGAAGATTGGCTTGCTGAAGAAGAAGTAGGAGACATTCTACCTGAACTGCATGTAAGTGACACGCTCGAAGCACCTGCTGAAAAGCCCAGCTCGCCAGAGAAGGAAGATCCCGCCAAGAAAGCCGAAGAAGAGAGTTCATATGTCGTTAACAAAGGAAAGTTTAAAGTGACCGTTAGCAAAACGATGAGCGAAGAAGATAATGAGCCGGATGATAAAGTCGACGAGACGACCAAACTGACTGACCCTGTGGAGCCAGCCAAACCGGAAGAAATAACGCAGGAAGTTGCTTTTAAAGAGAAGCCTAAGGGGACCATTGATGTGTGGTGGCTCTTCGATGATGGTGGGTTGACAATTCTTATACCTTACCTGCTCTCAATTCATCGTTATTGGAAAGACTGCAAGCTGAGGATCTTCACGCCTGCCTCTACGCATGCGCTCAAGAGCAACGAGCTCAGAATGGCGACCTTGCTAAAGCGATTTCGAATCGACTTCACCAGCGTCGTGGAGGTAGAGGGTATGAACGCGCAGCCTTCCACCTTGAGTATCCAAAATTTCATGAAATTACCTGTGAAGGAAGAATTTCCAGACGTGACAGCTCTGGAGAAAGACCGTAAAACTATGCGCAACATTCGCCTCGGGGAATTGATCCGTTTGCACTCCAAAGACGCCAAATTGATTGTTCTCACTTTGCCGGTGCCTAAAATAGAGATGACGTCACCTCTCTTATACATGAGTTGGCTCGAAGTGTTGTCAGCGGCTTCACCCCCAGTGTTGATGGTCCGAGGAAACCAACAGAATGTGTTGACCTTTTACAGTTAGCTTATGCCTTTAGTTTACAGTAGTAAGATGTTTGTCTAAAAACTAGAAAGTTAGCTTCTATGGGGGGATGTACATTAGACCCTCGTTATTGTAATTGCCCAAACGAAAGCGAACTACCTTTTGAAATTTTTCCCAACTTCCTCATTTTCTATTTTGAAAATGCAGCAAGACTCTTGTACGTTTTACAATGAAGCGTCTTATCGAGGCAAGGGAAATGTGCACAACTTCTGAGTAGGAATTCTCCATCCGTTTTTACTTAAGTAGATGGCACAATTTACAAAGAGCTGACACTATGATTTTATAGAGATCGGTGAAAAAAATAGTTAAAGTTGAATTTTTCATCCATTTGCTAAGAGTGATCTGAGACTCATTAAATACATAACCATACAGCACAGTTTAAAATGAATATTGGAACATGACGTTCTGCGGGGCAGAACTGAACTCACCTAGCTATGAAGTAATTGTATTTTGCCAATTTGAAACGATTAATATTATCATCAAGTGGAAATAATTTTACTGTGCCTTACGCACATGGAGAACTTTGAAAGTAATTTTTGTGAAACTGGTACGATATTACCAGTTTATCGGAGTTTTTCTTCAAGTCTTTGGATACGATTTTATACTGCATTTTAGGAAAAATCACTACCACCACCGAATTGTTTTGAATTTCGAATGAAAATCGTGCGGATTATCTGGAAATTGATATTTTTTAATATTTATTACCGCAAGTGGCACTTAAAAGATAGCGAAAGAATACGAGAATAATGGTCTGAATAATTGTTTAATTACTTCTAAATCGATTTCAAGTATATACTTTTGAAAAGGCAATGTCGATTTTTGGTAAAGATGGGTAATCTTTAAACTACCAAATCGCAAGGTGATTTGTTATTTAAGGGAAACAAAAAATTTGTGAGCATTTAACGTGCTCAGCAGGGGGATTGTATGCAAATTATTTAAGTCAGGCAGGGTAAGAGTTATCAAAATTTTTTCGTTTGTTTTTCACGTTGAAGCGCGACTTTCCCAAAGCCGAGTTAGTCACGGACTCCATAGTTTTTGGAATTTAAATGTTTTAGTTTCTCCTGATTGACCGAAAACCTGGTAAACAGAAAAAGAATTGTCAACGTTTTGTCTCAACTGTTGTGTTGAGGTTGCTGCAGTAAATTCGTTGTTGGGTAAACCCTGTTGATAGAACTTTGGAGCGATTCAGACCAGAATATTACATCATATTTTGAATTGTCTATTTTTTTCGGGGGGGGGGGGAGGGTCCAAGTAAACTGCTGTTGATTGGAACGAAAGATTTAAGCAACGATATTTGAAGGTAGACCAACACCAAAATGATGAGAGTAAACCAAACTAGAGCATTATAGGTTTAAGATGAAAATCAACAAGGATTACAAATGATGAAGTTATGCTCTTAAGGATTAATAATGCACCTGCCGTGAATTAGCCTTTGTAAACTTTGAAATGGTTATCACGGTGGTAATTCTAGTTCACTTTATTGAATTTTCATAACAAATTTTGTAATTTTTTCCCAGTTTTTCCTGAATATTCGACGTTAACGTTTATACACGAATAAATGTGTTCAGTTTGATAGAGAACTTTCACCTTTAAAACGAGTGTTTATTATGCCTTCTTTTACTAACAACAGCCTCGTTATATCGATCAGTCAGACCTTACCCTATATCCTGCGGGCACGCCCTCATTATTAATAGCGCTGCAGGACGCTCGTTTCTCCGAACGCCGGAAGATTTTAGAGCTACACTACTTGCAGAACCCTCCTTCCCCCGGTTCACGTTGTGCAAGGCTAAATATTTTCTCGCAGCGAAAAACGCTCGTGCAGAAGCGATGATGGTAAGGGTCTACTCGCAAGGTATTATCCTTGGAGTTATTCCCCTTTTTATCGCCCGAGGGACTCATAATTGTAACAACTGAAAGAAAAAAACGTAAAAGCCCAGATGCCAATCTGACAAGCAAAATTTTATCAAAGGTATCTTAAGAAAAAAATTCGCGTTTGGTTTCTTTCATTCCAAAAACTTGGTGGGGGAAATAATGTGACGATATAAATTGCACTCTCGTCAGAGGTAGATTATGAATTTAATTGCTCTCAGACTGCTCTGCAATATCAAAACAAACGGAAGGAAAAAAGTATATCAAGCGAAGTGATCCTGTACTTTCCACATACTAGGTGAGAATTACTTTCAACTGAGCCAACAAGCCTCGAGATGAGAGAGAGGCAAAGTTGGTTCTTCGATCTTTTTAAGAAATCTATTTGCATTTGACTCCATTTAATTGACTATTTTAATAATATATAGCGCATTCTGCTTATGAATATGGTTTAGTGCACCTTACAACACTTTTTCGGGGGACCTAAGCCAGGCTTCATTGATCAGTTTACAATTTTATTAAATGAATTTTGCAGTTGTTCCCAATTTATGATTTTTTAGAAACAAGACCAGGCCACAATATCGGTAGCTACATTCCTTTCTCTTTGCGAGAATTGCGTGGGTTCTTTAACATCCCCTGCTAATCAACACGGAGGAGATTTAGGAAACGGGGCCTACAGCTTATTGTCTTCAACTGAGATGACTAGAACGAGATCGCTATATCTTAAACGAGTCGAGTTAAAAGTCGAGTAAGTGTGCTGCAAATAGGAGTATGCTTTCCACTCTTCACATAAATAAAAAAAAGTTTAAAACTTACTCCTCCTGCAAAAAGTAGGGTTCCTTTCTGCACTTCGCTATACCTTCAGTACCACGCGATACCCGGGCCCTCGAGCGAGTGAGTCCATAGCTGTTATGCTCCCATGATTCCCTGCGCACCCATATTTAATCCTTTCTAATCGCTTCAGTGGCAGAGACCGTCTTCTCCTCAAGGTAGGTCGAGTTATCTATTTTAATCGTCAATGGTGTACCTTATTTTAAACGCTAGACACGCGTATAGTGTATTTGGATCATTTATTTTTTCGGTTACCTTATCATTACTGAAATCGTGGCTAAAATTTGCTCGATATCATGATTCTTTCTGTGTCGATGTTTGCAGATGACACCTGCAGTAGAGAACCCTCCGGCTGAAGAAGAGGCGAATGCTGAAGGTAAGAAAACTTTCCTTACGTTCAGATTGATAAAATTTTAACAAATGGTTAGTTAAAATTCAAATTATTTGGCAGTCACCGTCGATGAGAAAATTTTCCACCCAAGTATTTTTGACAGTGACGCAATTCGTGGCTTGTGAAATCATGGTCACTTTGACATGATGGAAAGGAGAAACTCAAAATACCATCGCCAACACCTTGTTTAACCACACCTGAATTTGAACTTTACTTTGACAATAACTACCATTTCGGTTAGTGAATCAGTCGATTTATCCACTGATAGCTGGTAAATTACCGCAACTCGAACATGGCACCACAGTTTACACGTGGAAGCTACGTGTGTACCAAGATTCATGTAAACTGAGCTTCTCAGTCTTAAAAGCAATAACATGCCCCATCCCTTAGAAGTTATTCTCAGAAACCTGGCATTGCATACACTTACTTGCCTCTCAAGTCTCCTCTAAAAATTGGAGGGAAATAAGGTTTATTTTACCTCCACTTTGCTGGAAGGAAAACGTACGTATAGACGAGAATATGATTCAAGACGTTCTATGTGCAAAATCTTATCATATTGCCTTATATCATTTCTACCGAGGAAAACGAGTAAACACTTAAATTTCCATAACGGCAACTCTGTGTATTGTCCATGATGGATGGCATGAGCAGTTGTTACTAGACGGTGGAGAACAGTCTCCTGTTACCTAACCCTTTAAACCCAGTAGTGACTGGCTTCTGATTTCTACTCACAGTATCACCCTTAAATTAAAGTTCATGTGAATAGATGAAATGATCACCAATCTAATAAACTCCTTGCCATTACCATAGAAAAGGTAGAGAGATCCGTGTGGAGGAAATGAGCATTTAAGTTAGGTTGTGAAAGGTTAAGAATACTCTCCCACTCCTACATCTCAATGAAGAAAACCTTGTCTGATTGACAAATAGATTCCAAGTTGCCATGCATCTGTTCAGTAATAGATCACAGATGATGTCAAAATGTGGTAAGAACAAAAAAGTGGCACACAAGGCACAGCTGAGTGTGTCACTGATGTTCTTACCACATTTTGACGTCCTCTGTGATCTATTACTGAACAGACGCACAGCAACTTGGAATCTATTTGTTTTATATAATAAAGAATTAAAAAAAGTTTTAATGATGACGTCATTTATACGTCTGTCCTCTAATAGATCATAAGTGAGAACCAATCAGAATGCGTGCATAACTGAGCTTATTATATAATATCAATTGTTTAACATTCCAGTTATTTCGGGAACTGAAAGTGACAGTGATGACGAATTACCAGAGCTTGAGGAAGGAGATGCTGGCCAACCAGCTATTTCAAGTGAAGTGGCTGCCGCAGCTGGATTGACTGAGGAACCTGTCAGCAAAGCAAAACAGAGCAGAGGAGAAAAGAAAGCCAGAAAATCTCTGTCAAAAATTGGACTCAAAACTGTTTCTGGAGTGACCAGAGTAACAATACGGAAATCCAAAAATATACTATTTGTTATAAACAAGCCAGATGTTTACAAAAGCCCAGCCTCGGATACATACATAGTGTTTGGTGAGGCAAAGGTATGTTTTCAATAAGTTTCTATTTTGTCCAGGTAATTTTATCTTACATTTTACAATGTGCTTGCACTTTAGAGTGTTTGCCAGGAAACATTTTGATTTGTGCTTATTTCAGGTTAGCTCATGACAATAACTTAGTTTTTTCATGGCTGGAAAGCTGGTGAATTGAGTAATTTGTTTGTTAGGGAATGTTGGACAAAAACAAAGGAATTTATTCTGGAAAACAAAAGAAAACGGCTGTCATGGAAAAAATTATTTTCAATTTTTTTTGTGATGAAACACCTACATGTATTTACATAGAGTACAATTCATCCATCTCGATGTTGTGTAGCATCAGTCAAATTAGTACCCTTTGAAACATAAGTGCTATGTTTTTGTCCATGTGTGCCCAGTGACGATAAAGATGCCTTATGGTGAGGAAAATCTGCCAAACTTAAAAGCCTCTTTCCTTATGTTTGTATTGTTTTGATTTTGTGTAAACTTGCATACATTACTTCATTTGTGTTGTGTTACACCCATACACTTGGCTGGAAGGTTTGGTTAGATGTGGTCCACTGATCGAAAGATTATGAGATCTGAGGGCACACTTCTACATTCTGTGTGTGTCTTTATTACCATTTTCATTTTTCACTGTTTGTATCTAACACACATTCCAATTTCTCTTTAGATTGAGGATTTGAGCCAGCAAGCCCAAGTTCAGGTGACACCTTTATTTATAATCCTAGTGATTACAAATTCTTTTGTTATATACTATGAATGGAAATAAAGGTGAACTTTTACTTACACATTTATGAGATCTATCTTTGCCCTCTTTAAACTCTTTGGATTGGTACTTTCCATGTGTTAGTTAAGACAACCAACTATCCAGAATATTTTCATGACAATTTTCAGTGATCATTGGTTTCTAGGGAATGAATTCTTTCTGGAACTGTTTTCTTAATCCTTTACACCTTTGTTCATATGAGCTAGTGTTTGATCAGATGTGATTTTGTATTTTCATGCTTTCAATTATTGTAGGCCGCTGAGAAATTCAAAGCTCCTCAACCAGCCCCTGCCATCCCAGAAGCAAAGGCAGCTGCCATTGAACAGGAAGAAGAATCTGAGGAAGAAGAGGTATGTAGAAATTTTCTTCATTAAGCTTCTAATTGCCAACTCCTGTTTCCTTGGGGGTTGATGGAGCCTTTGCAACAGTATCACAATTTTAAAATTTTCACCATGGCAGTACCATCTGAAAGAAAAAAAAACTCCTTTTCCCTTGTTTACATCTTCACAGAGCAAAATTTCCCTGACTTTTTTTATATGAGAAAAATTTTTTAGTTACTGATCTCTTTTCATTGCTGGAGATGAAAATATGAACTTCCTGCATTTTCACTTATATTGAACCTCTGTCAATTGCAGATCAATGATAGCAATGTGGAGGAAAAAGATGTTGAACTTGTTATGCAGCAAGCTAACGTCTCCAAATCTAAGGTATGGTACTAATTAGTTCCAGATATCCAATACCAATTGTTGTGGTTTGTATGCCTATGTTGCTGTTGCTTTCCTCTTTTTTTTTTTTTTTTTTCTTGTGTTTTTTCCAAAAAAAAATTTACCTTATGAAATTCTAAATTGAGTTTTGTCTTTTACATAATTATGTCCTTGTGATTGCAAAATACATATGATAGGCTTAATATTCTTTAATTGACTGATTGGGAGAGTAATTAGTAATGACCTCAAGCCAAATGTTTTCCTGTCCAGTACAACTTAACTCAGTCAATGAGCATTTCATCTTCTAACCACCACTATTTCTCTTTCTTTCTTTCATCTTTCAACTTGCATCCCCTGAGGTCGAACAGCTTTTTCTGCCTCTGCTCACATCATCCTTTACAGCCCTAGTGTACTGTATAATGTTAGGTATTTTAGTGCTTGCAGGGCTGTTTGGGCCATACAAGAAGAAAAAAATCTGTTGCCTTTAGTTCATGATGAAAGAGGTTTTTTATGTACTTAAACTGAAAATTAATGTGTTCTCCCTTCCAAATCCTTTTTATAGGCTATCAAAGCTTTGAAAAATAACGAAAATGATATCGTCAATGCCATTATGGTAAGTTTCTTCCTTGGTGTATCATGTTGTAGATTGGTAAGAAAATTGATTCCTTTTGGGTGTCAGCTGAAGAATGGCAATATCATTCAAATGTCCATCTTAAGGTCATAGATGCCTGGAATGGGGATTTTTTTTGGTTCATTATTTTCCTGTTCATTTCCTTTTTTTTTTTTTTTAACCAGCATCTTGTCAGGAGGGTATTCAAAACTGTTTCATCTCTTTTATCTCAGCTTCCATCATACACAGCTGTCTTAAACAACATGCAAACCTTTGGGGTCACTTTGCTAATAACATGGTTTTTTTTTTTTTCTTTTCAGGAACTGACTATGTAAATTAACCGTGCATCAACTTTTAAAATCTCCTTTGCTCTGTACAGGATTTTTGCATTTTGACATGTTGTCTTTGGTTGGGAAAAAAAAAATTGGAATAAAGTAGCCATTAACAGAACTGAAAATGTCCTGGTCTGTTGTTTCCTTGTCATGTTTAGTGTCTGAAGGTGTACATTTATGGTAAACAAGCGAATAACTATGACTGAAATTTTTCCATATTTATGTCCGTGTCATTCATTAGTCCTCTGCAGATATTCTTTCGCCTGCTTAGTTAAACTGTCTTGAGAAATAAGCTCACGCCCTCATTGTCATGGTTAGATTTTCACTACAGCTTGATTTGGACAACATTTTAAGCAAAATGGGTGCGGGGTTGTGGGGTCTCGATACCAACATCAAAGCCAAAGAATTGTGCTTTCCCACGATTCCAACACAAAATATATGGTGAAAAGATCTCTTTTTAATTTACGTATTTACACTACACGTAGAGATGTAAGAAATCACTTTACATCTGTGAGCTTGGTACAGATTTTTTTGGTATTCATGAGATTTTTTTTTCACGCATGAAAAAGCGCGTGCAGAGCAATATGTTGTATTCAGTTGACTTTTACAATCTAAAGTTATACAAACTCTACAATAAATACTTTTGTTTAACATACTCTATTTGAAATAAAACTCGTTTTCTTTTTTTGTCAATCCAACAGCGCCAGAAGTGAGTGTTTATCTTGATAATTTTCGTAACAGGTCACCGTGCGCTCTTTGCGGAAATTCTTTCCCGCATCAGAGACAACAAATTGACTTAAACAACAAATACGGTGTTGTCTTAGTGGATTGGTTAAGTGCTATAGAAGAAGATTAACCTACAGCACGCCTCAGTGCTGCATACTGGCCTTTTTCCAAAGGCGATCCCTTTGGATGGAGGGGTATGCTACAGAAAACAAATCATTTCTGCCATTTTGAACATTAATATAACGGCAGAAGGATTTCAGTAGAGAGCAGAAGTATATCGGGATAAGTGAAATTATTTCTCTCAAAAATTTTCTCCTACGTCTGTAGAACATCAACAAATGTGACAAATTTTGATCTCAACCTTAGAATTAAGATTTCCTTTGCCTTGTGGAGTCCCCATGAGAAATCGAACTCCACACCTTCGGATTTCGCGCCGTGATGCTCTATCGTTGAGTTTAAGGCAACTCTAAGGTGAGTACATGCGTGGTAGAGCATCGGAGCGCAAAATCCAAATGTCTGAGGTTCTATTTCTAGGGACACTCCGATTTTTTTCTTTGTCATACGCTCGTGACAAGACGATTAGATCTTTCTTGATGAGGAGTGCAAAAGTTTGATTGTGGCTAAAATGATTCTACTTCCACTTCCCCATCAGCTTCATCATCTTCCCTCGGCACTGTCTGCAGTTCGTCCTCATTCCAAACTAAATTGTAATTGTTTTCAAGGTCTTGTTGACGCTTTCTTTCTTTCCCAGCGTCAGGACTACCTCCCTGAGAGATTAGGAAAAAAAATTGACCGATGAGGTTCAATTAAAATATATCGGTATAACCTTCAAAAACTTATTAATTCAAACTGTCGATTTTCTAAGTGGTACTAATGTACCGATTGAAAGTCTAGCAAAGAATATGAACACGTGACTGTTCGACCACAAAAACAGGGAGAAGTCAGTTACACCTGGTACGTTACTTTTAAAGGAATGATGTGCATCAATTGTCACTCTTGTGAACGGGGATATATGCCAGATCTTTTTTTTTTTTCCTTTTTCAAGAGATTATAAACTGTTTACAAGCTCTCCGTTATTTCGAAACCGGTATAACAGCCCATCCGCTTGTGCGTCGTTATCAACAGACACAGATCAGTGCCTGAAACCGAAAATTGAAAATTGGACGCTTTTTCGTTCATTTGTACTATTTTTAAAATGTTTCGTGTTCTTAACTCACCAATAGACCAAGGATCATGTTTTTAAATTGATTTTCTTCATCGTCACTGAGTAACTTCATATCGCTTTTGCCTTCCATTTTCTCCAGAGCGTCTTTGGATGTTACAATCTTGACTTTTATCTTGCCTAAACATGATTACACTACATGTCAACATTTATACTTAAGTGAAGAAACCACGTTACTGTTTGGACATCTCCACTTTATTAAGTGCGTTATCAATTATAATATGGTTAACTTTCTTCATTCCTTTTTAATTATTTCTTCAAATAAATGATTTATTATTTTGCAGTGTCCTTGAAGTGTTGGGTAGATTCGTGAGTACCCCCTCTCTTCCCCCCCCTCCCCCCAAAGCAAATGAAAATATCATGATGTAGCTCCTTCCACTTCGCAAGGTCGCAAGGAAAGCATCAACCCACTCACTACCAAGATGAAAAGATCACTTCTCCACACCGACTACCTGACATTTCAATAACTAAAGTTTGGAGAATGTAGTATTAAATCAAACAATGTTCCCTGGTTATTGTTTTTCTGTCTTCTCATCATCTTTCCTTTCTGGACATTCTTGGGATTGAAAGAGTTGAAGAAACTACAGCATGTCCAAGCACTGGCTGCAGACAAAGAACATTACAGATCTTCAAGTATTATCTGAATTCTAATTAAGTTTGTCATACCTGAAGGCAACACTCCTGAGTCTCTCAGCTGCTGTTTGACTAGTTCTTCCATTTTCTTCGTAGCCATACGAATTCGCTTTTGGAGACCTAACTCTTCCATCTCTTCATCGTCAAGATCTGCTTCTTCCATCTCGGAGTCTTCATTGTCGCCAACGAATACTTTCTTAACCTTTGACACTTTAACTTTTACTCCTGTTTTCGTGTCGCTCTCATCAGACGATTCTGATGACTCTAATTCGTCAACGTCGTCAATTGTAGAACTGGCAGAGTTTATTTCCGTATTGCCTTCATCCCCAAAATCTGCAGCTTTTGCATTCACTTTACTGTTCACGTCCAGATCTTGGATCATAGTTTTTAACTTGTTCACGACTTTATCAATACCACCTTTCGTTGGCAAAAATTGCGCCTTATCCTTCGACTCCTCCTCGGCATCTTTGTCACCAGAAATTTTTCCTCTCATTTTTGTGATATAATCTAAGTCTTGGTCCAGCTGGAATCGCCGCAAAAGAATTTTCTTCAAAAGTTTGTTGCTCCTAAGAGAAAGTTCTAGCAAGTCGCCTTTCGCGGCTGGTTTATCTTTACTCCCTATCATATTGAATATCTCTTTATTGAGTTCTTTGATTGATTCCATGTCATCATCTAGTTGCCTAAAGAGATAAGAACACGAATTAAGATTGAACTTTTCTCTAGAACATTGACGCATAAACATACTGACATAGTGTGAGAATCATACAAGTAACCACCAAAGAAGAGATAAACAGTTTTCAAAGGAAGTTAATTTGCTCGGAGATGCTGATCGATTCAACTTGATATCAAACGTGGGAAGTAGAAACAACCATTGTTATTTTACTGTCACACAAACAAGGTGAATCTGATACAATAAACTGTCTAGGAGAGAATGCCATACAAGTTGTCACCGGCCGACTAGATGCCTGAGCGATTGACTGCAAAAACGACGACCGACCGACCGACCGACCGACCGACCGACCGACCGACCGACCGACCGACCGACCGACCACCACGAAGTAAACCATAAATAACGAAAACAACAATTCGACCATTGGCATTTCAATTATTACATTATAAATCTATTTCCTGGTAACTTACAAGTTGGTTTTCTCAAAACGTTCAATGGAATCCTTTATCTTGCTCAATGTTTTGGCAAGCTCTTCGTCTTTCACACCATTTGTCTCCTCGATCTGTTGTATCTTTGTCTTAACGATTTCAACTTCACTCTTCATTCGAGCGCGTTCTTCGTAAAACTGTTTTTCCAACTCAGCTTGCATTACAGAGGCAGCTTCTAACAAATTCTTCATCATGCCCCCGCTAAAAAGCTGTCAACAATAGAACGAATTGAGTCAATCGGGCTATTTTAGCGAGAGACGGAACTTTCTATCGGTTCACAGGCGCAATAACTCACGCAGAATGTTAGGAAAAAAAACGAGATCCGGCGAGTGATTTACATACTTTTCTCGTATTTTTCCAATATAGCGACGGTAAACCGGTAGAAAGTGCGGTCTATTACTGTTATGACATAAACTTAAAACAAAACACAGCGTGTTTCAATTTTCAGTGGGTTTACCAGTGCAGTAAACGATCAAAAGGTTTTTGACCGATCAGAGCGCCGGCAGTATCTCAGTTATTTCATGAAAAGCTGTAGCTTCTAGCTAGCTTAAACAGTTAGAAAAATGTTTCGATTCTTTGTAGAAGAGTAATGTCTTATTTCCAGAAAAAAAAATTGCATAAAAAGCATAACTTCCAAAGAAATACTTACGAGTCGTCCCTGTATGAATAAGGGCTATCATTTGCCATTTAAAGGCATCAAATTTAGCTTTTTTAACCTTTGATTCTCAAAAGCTGAGTAGTCTCTTATTCTCCCTACAGGCTACAAAACATTTCATTGTACAATACTTGAGAGAATTTGGTGTTGCATCAAAATAACGCAACCCGATAAGCTAGTCCACTCTCATCACTTATTTGCAGAATAACCATTGAAACTGTGAACCGCTTCTGGGAGCTGATGGGTGAGGAAACAAAGAACAAACCTTCTGAAACTCTTTTAGTGATTCCGCAAAGTAATTTATGTTAGGCTTTGACTTCTGCTGTTCCTTTTGTGGCGTGTCTTCATCTTCATCTTCATCTTCATCCTCATCCTCATCTTCAATTTTTTCGTCTTTCTCATCAATTTTTTCATCTTCATGATTTTCTGTTTCAATCTGACCGTCGGCAGCATCCTTCCCCTTTTCTCGGTTTCCCACACTTCCAAATTTCTCCTCGAATTTCTTATCCAACACTGTCAGTCAAAAAAAAGTAAAGGTACAGAAATATAACGTGCTGAAGGCCATAGCGAAAAAAAAACATATCTTCAAGATTTGACCATCGACGAGGAACAGAAAATACAGACTGAAGTAAAACATTATCCAAACTAGATCGGTATTCGTTAACGACTAACACAAATAACCCTGGAAGGACGATGAGTATATGTGACGGCAAAGAGCCATAGAATGAGAT